TTACTCTTGACTAACGAGTCATCATTGACTTACTAATTCTGTGACTGGATAGAGATACTATATCACCCCAATTAAGTCCACTAACTTCTTTGGTGACCGCCAAGGACTGTTCTGGGAATGTAGAGTCGTTCATCATCCAGAGTCACTCTATCGTTATCAATTTATATAGCGACGGAAGACAAGCCACACCACTACCTGAGACAACACATACTATTATATAACTTGCTGTTATACGTGCCAGGCCCCGCATATTGGAGCTTCTGACGACTACCATTACTCATCACCCAAATCAATCCAAGTCACCGATCTAATCACTATTCAAAGAAATACTATCTACTACTACTTTTCGTACTTGGACCTGTCACGCAACCAACCAACCAACATCATGGACGTTGAGCAGGTCGATCTTTCCCGTGGTTGGCCCAACCCCGCCTTGCTGCCCACGACGGCCTTGGCTGAGGCCTCTGCGAAAGTGTTGGCCACCCCGGCCATTTGGACACCGGCCTTGATGTATGGCCCTGATGAAGGGTACCAGCCGTTGCGCGAACACATCGCTCGCTGGCTAACGACGTTCTACCAGCCACGCGACCGCATCACTCCCGAACGCATTTGCATCACGGGTGGCGCCAGTCAGAATGTAGCCTGTATCCTGCAGGTCTTTACTGATCCTGTCTACACACGCAATGTTTGGATGGTTGCACCCGCCTATCATCTATCCTTTCGCATCTTCGATGATTCCGGGTTCACTGGTCGCCTGAGGGCCGTTCCTCAGAGTGATGCGGGGTTGGATTTGGCCTATCTCCGACAGGAGCTGCTTATTGCCGAGGAGCGGGCAAGGAGGGAAAATAATAACGCACCGGTACGTTGGTTTGCTTTGGTCTGCAGAGGGACGTTTACGTCCTGCATTTTGAGGTTTTAAGGGGACTGCAATGGCTCATATGACTGACTCCTACAGAACTACAAACCTACTAGGCCATGGGGTAAAGTCTACAAGCATGTCATCTATGCTACCCCCACCTTCTCCAACCCGTCGACGCTCACCATGTCCTTGCCTGATCGGGAGAATCTGGTTCGTCTTGCGCGAGAATTTGACGCCTTGATCATCGCCGATGATGTCTATGACTTCCTTCAGTGGTCACCAGACCCAGCCAAGACATTACCGCAGCCCAGCAGGGCGCACCTACCCCGTCTGGTGGATGTGGACCGGTATCTGGATGGGGGACCCGGGGATGACTGGGGTAATGTGGTGAGCAATGGAAGTTTCAGCAAGCTGATCGGACCCGGAATGCGAACAGGTTGGGCGGAGGCTACCGAGAAGGTAGCGTATGGTCTGTCACAAGCGTACGTGATCCCGTGAGGTGGTCTTGCTGGCTGCTCTCGCTTGTCCCTTGCTTTACCCTCCCCTACCTGGTAGGCTAACTTTTCCCTGGACAGAGGCTCAAGTCGATCCGGAGGCGCACCGTCGCATATGTGCGCCGCCATCATTGCGCAGCTGTTCCCCACGGGGATTGTACAAAACTTCATTGGCGATGTTCTGCAACCGGCGTACGCCCGCCGCTACCACCGGATGATGTCTGCCATACGTGAGCATCTTGTTCCCCTCGGCGTGGGGCTCCCTCCAGTTCCTGATGTGGCAGGGGGATATTTTATTTGGCTCCGGCTCCCACACCCATTACGGTCGAGCGAGCTTGTACCCATCGCACTGCGCGAACAGAATTTGATCGTAGCATCTGGTAATGTCTTTCGGATAGATGGAGATGCGGCAGGAGACAAGAACGACTTTGACGACGGCATGCGCCTCTGTTTTGCGTGGGAGCGGGAGGACAAACTCGAAGAGGGGGTGCGTCGACTTGCATCGGTCATTCGTGAAGCTCTCAAGTAAACCCAATGCTGGCGGCCGCTGCGATGATGGCTACCAAGGGTGGACGGGCGGATCGGACCGCCTAGGACCTTGGTCTGGAAGAACTGTAGTATGTTGTTGATATGGACGAACCACACACCCCATTACAGAATAGTCATTCAGTGCCGAAAGGTTGAAAGCTCGTCACGCCCCAGATTATCTCTCCTTGGCGCAAGATGAGAAAGAATGGCTTGGGGTCGAGTGATGCAGACGGAGGCGGTGGGCGGCCAGTCAAGGCGCGAGGCCGGGGAAGGCAGATGACTCGGGGCGAGCATCTGCACGGCACCTGCAGCCAACTTGCATATATAGACCGCAGTAGCGCAGTCAGGGCACTTTTGGAATCACTGGCTGCAGGCCAAACATCACGCTTTCCCGACACACATTGTTCAGCGCCTACTCCTGCAGCACAATGCTTGAGGAACCTTGGTCTTTTTCCTGCCCGGAATGGACGCGTCAAATAACTCCTTGTGCCAAGGGATGCCGCTGCGGAATCAGACGGGCACCGCACACATTCTTCACGCGTTCCAAACCCAGAATCGTTGTCTAGCTAAATCATCCAAACATGACGGAGTTCAACAAACAATCCGGCTTCCGGGCCGACCGTCTAGATAATCAGGACTTTTGGTCGAGTCCGCAACGCTGTACAACTTTCTGGACCATGCAGGTGATTACTGCTGCTGCTGCCGAGGCTAGACTAGTTGATGACTAGGTGTTTCACGGGCAGACCACGACCCAAGGTTAGCGGCCAATCAGTCGGGTTGGATTAATTAAGGAAGAAGACAGTCTCCTCTGCGGAAAGCTTGGTGCACTGATTCCTTACCCACCGTGTAGGATATTTTTATCTCGATCGAGGGGAAAAGAGACGGGAAGACTGAGACATATCGGACCGTGGACTTGGCTATCTATCTACTTTGTAGTATCATGTAACCTCTATATGAGAAGAAGGATCAAGTTGTAGAGCACCAGTTAACCCTTGACCCATTCTTTATTGGTGGGAGAGAAATGGTTAGTTAATTTCTGGATTTTGCCCCTGGATGATCCCCCCTCAGCTCTCTCACTTTCTCGCCTCTCTTTCCCTCGCCCGGGCCCACCCGTCCATGCAGGACCAACCTTTTTTTCTTCCCGCCTGAGTCAAGGTATCTACCAACCTTGAATCCAAGGGATTGGCTGATGACTAATTCTACAGTTAAAACAGCATGTACAAAAGTATAATCCGGCGAGAGTATACGTACTTATGGCTATGCCAATGGAACAATTAGCTTTCTCGCCATGGACTAGATATATCTGATGCAGCAAGTGAAGCTTATCCAGATGAGGATGCCACGGCTGCCCGGGAGCACCGACATTACTGCCCAGACTGGCGTCGGGGGAACAATGGACCACGAGGAATGTCTAGACCTGCTCGATCAGGCAGCCTCCCCCAGCACTGCAATCACAGTGGAAAAACTGGTGAGCAAAGCCCGAAATTTCGTCCCCATCGAGACATACCGTATGGCGGGTCAAATGCAGCATGGCAGAGGAGGTGTTCCGTCCACAGGGTTCGCCATCCATACCAATGCCTGAGTCTAGTGCGTAGCGACCAGCTCGCTGCCCTGGCGCGCTGTCAAACGGGCGAATTCCAGCAGCAACAAGCCATGCCGGACGATCGGCTCTGCAGCCATGGTCGAGCGATTGAAATGCCCAGTTGTCTTCGATCTGGGCCACGGCGAATATGTTGATCAAAACCCTGCCAGGTATATTAGCCTACCGGGTCCGCTGATCGACTGGAGATTTTGATCTTTTCCTTTGGCTTTTTTTCTCCTCTTCCTGCCACCTCCGCCTCTCCTTTTCCGACTCCTTGAGCTTGTGCTTTTAGGATCGGATCAGATTTCGTTCGTTTCCTTTGTCGCCCACGCAGCATTGGGAGGTAGCCTATCCCTCGTTCAGTCACTAGTTAAGGTTTAGTAGAGAGTCCCACGACTCTCGGCCATTCGCTCTCTTCGCTCGTTCCTTGAATATCCGGCAGCCTAGACTATCTGGTCCACCAGCATTGGGGAGTAGGACTAGTATAGTAGTGCGTGCGTGCGTGTGTGTATACAACTATACACGCGAGTTTCGGTAGGTAGTTAGTCCATTGCAGACTCTCCCTCCCGCACTTTCTCCCCACCATTACCACCATCTTCACCACACACAAGCTCTCTGCATGGCCCACCATGCATGACTCCAGGCAGTTCGGCAGAGTGCGATACTCCCGCTACCAGGAATATCATGTCTATAGCAAGCGACCGCTAGAAAGATTGCCACCCAATGAATCCCGACTAACCCCCGTCTAGTGCTTTATCGACTCGTTTCATCCCCTGACCCAGGCGTTTCAAGCAGCGGTCGGCAGACGACGACTATCGCAGCTAATTGGTGTGAGTGGAGCGATCGGGGCGCGTGATTGGACCTTCAGCAGCTTTTCTTGCAGACGGACCACCATCTGGCGATAGTCAAGCAGTAATTTCCAGCGACGGACAAGGCATCGCAGTCCAGCCAGAACCAATCGTCGGGTCAGGAACGGGGCAAGTTTGTGTGCCTGGATCCATTGGTCCCTCCCGCGGGTGCCAGCAAATCTTCTGTTCCCTCCCACCTCCACTTTATCCCGGGTGTAATAACCTTCATTTACTTCGGCCGTTCCCTTCATATCCTAGCTTTGTCGTTTCTTTTTTATTCTCTTTCCCCCGTCCTTTCGTTCCCTCGTCGGTTGTGTCTGTCTTTGTGTCGTGGAAAAAAAAAGGCAGTTTCCGAGTGTTACTGTCTTGCTGTGTGTGTTGTGTTTTTGTGTGTTTTATTACATTCATTCCTTTACTACATCTTTCTCCCCTGGCGGCTGATTTGCGTCCCCATACATTCCTTGCTCTTCCCTACTTACTACTCCAACTACAACATCCTATCCAGTCCACCGTCTGACCCCGTCGTGTGACAGACCACTCCTGTTGGGGCTCACACGATCTTGTCTGGATATTTCTTCAGTACTGGTTACTGAAGTGTTGGTCGCTCGTCAGCGTTCCTCCTTACTATATTACTGTCCCTTCTCGCTCTTCAGTTCCCTGCCGGCTCAGTGAACGTCGCTGTCTTGACGATGGCGTCTCTCCACACTTCCATCATGTTGTTTGTGTCGTACGTCTGTCTGCTACTGAGTGTGCCAGTGGCCTTGGTCAATGCTGTCCCTACGTCCGGGTCTGTCGAAGCGACATCGCATCTGGCGGTGCGCGCTTCCGACTACTGGGTTGGAACCATCAAGCGTCAGGGCACTGTGCCCTTTGGCAACACCACGAGCAGCTATGCAATCTACCGCAACGTCAAGGACTATGGTGCCAAGGGTGAGTCAGACCTCCTTACATGGCTGGTATTTGATGCTGACTATTGCAGGTGACGGATCTACCGATGATACTGATGCGATCAACAAGGCCATCTCCTCTGGTGGCCGCTGCGGTTCCGGTTGTGACTCGTCTACCACCACCCCGGCCCTGGTGTACTTCCCCGCCGGTACTTACGTGGTGTCTAAGCCCATTGTGCAGTACTACTACACCCAGATGGTGGGCGATGCCAACGATCTGCCTGTCCTCAAGGCTGCCTCGAGCTTCAGCGGTATGGCCGTCATTGATGCCGACCCCTACGACAGCAATGGCGACAACTGGTACACCAACCAGAACAACTTCTTCCGTGCCGTTCGCAACTTCGTCATTGATCTGACCGCTATGCCCGCTTCCTCGGGTGCTGGTATCCACTGGCAGGTCGGCCAGGCCACCAGTCTGCAGAACATCCGCTTTGAGATGGTCAAGGGTGGCACCAACAACAAGCAGCAGGGTATCTTCATGGACAACGGATCCGGTGGCTTCATGTCCGACCTGACCTTCAACGGCGGTAACTACGGTGCCTTCTTCGGTAACCAGCAGTTCACCACTCGCAACCTGACCTTTAACGACTGCAACACCGCCATCTACATGAACTGGAACTGGGCCTGGACCTTCAAGTCCGTCTCTATCAACAACTGCCAGGTCGGCCTGAACATGTCCGCCTCTCCGTCCAACCAGACCGTGGGGTCCGTCCTGATGCTGGACAGCACGTTCACCAGCACCCCTACTGGTGTTGTGACTGCCTTCAGCAGCGACAGCATTCCCACCGGTGGCGGTGCCCTGGTCCTGGAAAACGTCGACTTCTCCGGCTCAACAGTTGCCATTGCAAGTGTGAACGGCGACACTATCCTCAAGGGTGGGTCCGTTGTCTCGAACTACGTGCAGGGCAATGTCTACACCCCGGGCAGCAGCAGCAGCAACAGCAATAACAACAGCACCGTCACCAAGCGCTCCCCTGCCGTTCAGGCCGAGGATGTTCAGGTGATTACCCAAACTATCACCGAGACCATCACAGCCTGCGGTGCCGACTACGCCACTGAAACTGCTGCGGGTTCGTTCGGAATTGCCTCTGACGTCGGAGCGGAGGGTTCGACTACGACCGCCGCTGGTGGTGTGGTGCCTCTGTCATCCATGTCTGTGCAGTACCCGGCCGCTGGTAGCTACAGCTGGGAAGGTTTTGACAGCGAAACCTCTCAGGCCACCACGGCCCCCAACGAGGCTTCTGTCCCTGCTGCCGGAACTTCTGCTGGTTCGACTCCTGCTGAGCCTACTTCCCAGTCGGCCGGTGCCTCCGTCGTCGCCCAGGGCTCCGGCTCTGCCACGGCTGCTACCAGCACCTCGTCTTCCGGCTCCTACTTCGGTACTTCCAGCAACTCCACCGGCCAGTGCTCAACCAAGACCGTCACCAAGACCCGTATCGAGACCACAATTCCCTCCCAGGCTATGGCCAGCTCTCTTCTTACCAGCTCTGGCAGTGTCTTCGAGAAGTCCAAGCCTTTGTACGGGTCGTATGCCGCTTCGTCCTTCGTCAGCGTCAAGTCGGCCGGTGCCAAGGGTGACGGTACCACCGATGACACGGCTATCATCCAGAGCGTCCTGAACAACGCCACCGAGGACCAGATCGTGTACTTCGACCACGGTGCCTACATCATCACCGATACCATCAAGGTTCCCAAGAACATCAAGATCACTGGTGAGGTGTGGCCCATGCTCATGGCGTATGGCGACAAGTTCTCCGACCAGAAGAACCCTATCCCCATGCTCCAGGTCGGTGAGGCCGGTGAGTCTGGCTCCGTTGAGATCAGTGACCTCGTCCTGGAGACTAAGGGCCCCGCTCCCGGTGCCATTCTGGTGCAGTGGAACCTCCAAGCTGCTTCCCAAGGCTCTGTTGGTATGTGGGATGTCCATGCCCGCATCGGTGGCTCTGCCGGCACTCAGCTTCAGTCCGACACTTGCGCGAAGACCCCCAGCCAGACCACCACACCCAACGAGAAGTGCATTGGCGCCTTCCTCCTCTTCCACGCCACCCAGAACGCCAGTGTCTACCTGGAGAACACCTGGTTCTGGACTGCTGACCACGACCTTGACGCTTCCGGCCACGGACAGATCAACATTTACAACGGTCGCGGTATCCTCCTCGAGAGTCAGGGCCCTGCTTGGCTGTATGGCACGGCTGCCGAACACAACCAGCTGTACAACTACCAGGTCTCCAACGCCAAGAACGTCTTCATGGGCTTGATCCAGACCGAGACCCCCTACTACCAGGCCAATCCCAACGCCCTGACTCCCTTCACCCCGCAGACCTCCTGGTCCGACCCCGACTTCTCGTATTGCACGACCGACTCCTGCCGCAAGGCCTGGGGTCTCCGTATCATCAACAGCTCCGAGACCTACATCTACGGTGCCGGTCTCTACAGCTTCTTCGACAACTACTCGCAGACATGTCTGGCCACGGAGTCTTGCCAGGAGAACATTGTTGAGGTGGACTGCTCCGACGTGCACATCTACGGGCTGAGCACCAAGGCCAGCACCAACATGATCACGTCGTCCAGCGGCGATGGCCTTGTCCCGCAAGAAGGTAACGAGAGCACATACTGCTCGACGATCGCCTTGTTCGAGCAATCGTCATCGATTTAATTTGTGCTTTTACATCAGAGACAATACATACATACAGTGATAAAGCAGTTATTTGTTTCCTCGAAGCCCTTGGAGGGAAGGGATCATAGATGCATTTGGAATGGTTGATTGATTGTTGGGGAACACATACGAATATACCACTTTGTTGTTACATTTTATATTTTTGCCTACGTCCATTCATTTTATCCCTCTATTCTTATCCCATTCGTTACATCTATTTGTTCTATACTGGCTTGGTAATTGAGGTGGTGGTGAGACTGGTTATGGTGTGTAGCGGTAGAGGTTTCCCCATGTGGCTATACAGTAGTTGAAATAAAAGTCAATGATCAGATTGTTTCTATCATACTATGACGAAGTCAATCGTAGTTCTTCGCCTTACATGTTTCATTGACATTAGTAGACTTCACACCCCCATGTGCATTATCATTGTCCCACACCCAAGAGCCGTGACAATAATAACCACCTACACAACCAACTTGGCGACTTATCCATGAGAACAAAAGAGAACAAAAGAGACAAAGATACAAACAAACAATGTGGATCCAAGCAGGTATTTAAACTTTTCTTTCAGTTATTCTGCATTGTTTTATTCATTGTATTCATTTATGACCCTATTGTATTGTATAGCACAATATCTATTGTGGAGATGGTTTATTTCATTGATTAGCTTGGCTAGAGAGTGTATGTGAATGAATATGTGGGCAGTGGGGTATTGGTGAATAACAGATACGAATGGGTCTGTTGAGGAATTTAATGATTGTTTAGTTGATGCTTTGATAAAGAGGGAACTTCCTACACTCAGTCTGTGTTTAAGGTGGGTTACTTGGGATGATGGTTGGGTTGGAGATGAGTATTTGTTTGCTTACTGTTCTGTGATGAGTGATCAGTTTGTTTAGACTTCTTCTGGTTGTTTATGTATGGTTCAGTGGTTGGTTATTCTCTTGCTGGTAAGAAGTATGATTTAGTCTATTGATTATAGTATTGGAAAAAGAAAAATGGTGGGTTGCAGATATGGGGTCTTTTGTTTTCGGTTGTATGAGTAAGGGCGTAGAGGCATGCTGGTATTACTCTATTGCATCGATGTTCTAGGGCGCGGATGGGTTTACTGGGGAAGGGAAACGAGGGAATTGTAGTCATAGAGCGTAAGGAAGGTAGTGTTACACCCTCTTTTGTTGAATTAAGCATGATCGCAATCGTGTGTGTGTGGTGTTTGGTAAGACTCGAGGTTCCATCGTAGGGTAGGTAGGGTTATATTGACTCGGCTGTGTAGCTGGAAGGGTTTGGGGCCATGTGCATGACTAGAAGTCAATGTAGCTGTTCCTGTTATCTCTGAGTGTTAGCACATTTTCATCTGTCTCATGCCCTTAGTGGTTGGCTTTGCAAGCATGATGCTGGATACGTATCCGCATTTCCTTGGATTTGTATGTGTGTAAAGAACGAAGATCTCCCCCAGTCTCTCCCTTGACAGTAGAGTGCTAGAAGCTGGTAGAAATCGTTCGATCACGATAGCTGACTAGTATGATCATTCAGTGTGGTGTGATGTAGACCTGGAGGACAGTGTCTGGGAACTTGCAGTTCCCAATACCATCGAGTTCCGACTTTGGCACCAGCGGATTGGATTGATCAGATGATGACCCTCACGAAATCTGCGGGAGTATTCTGTTGCTTCTTGCAAAGGATGGGCACAGGAGCAGAAACACTACCTGCCATATCGCTTGGCCAACCAGCAGGACCTTGAAGACAGCACTATTAATTGACGGGTGACATCCACAGATAGATGAGTAGCCTTCCACCGTTCGCACTTGCAAGAATAGAAAGAGATCCGCTGATTTCATCAATAAATTAATCCTGCCAGGTAGGGTGAAACGGGGACATGGTTTGGAAAAATCCTCATCCTGGTTGGAGCAGAGATATGCACAACTCCTTACCCTGCGAGGAAAAGTGGAGGAAGGACCTGAGGAGTGAATGGTCTGAGATGTATGAACTAGGGCAAAACGTGTGGGTGGATAACGTCCGAGCCAAGAAAGAATACCAGCATCCTCAACCCTGCTGTTGCTAAGTTGCCATAACGCCAGGGCTGATGCTTGTCGGGAGTAAATTGAGTCCCGACTGGTGCCATGGCTTTGATTGGCGCCGGTCCGGATGGAACCCGAACCTTGGCCCGAGTCTAAAAGCCAAAATGGGGAGTAGATCCAGTTATGACGGGGGAGGGCCCCTTTCGGAAATGAAGGAAGGAAGAGGAAAGCAGCATTATAGATGCAAGACAGGAAAAGCACAACCGGAGGGTCACCGAGAGAGGGAGCAAATGGTTGGCAGTGATCAGGCGCGGCATTAATGAAGCTGAAACCCATGCGATGCCAAGCATCCCGGTCAATCCGCCGGCGTTGAATTCATCTCCACCCACCGTTTCAACGCCCCTCAAGATGAAACCTCTGCGCTGCTGCCAGCGCTTGAGCCAGTCCAGTCAGTCTCCAGTTCCCGGTGGAGTGTCTCCCCTGTCATTATTATCTTCAGGGACTTTTGGGAGGGCCCTCTCTACGATGCTAGGACCGTTTCACGATCGATCATGATGGAGAGCTTTGTTCAGGTCCAGAACGCCCCGGCCGACTTCAACGGCCTATATAGAACGGCCCTCTCGTCGCCCTCATCTCTTCCTCTCTTCTTTTCCTTCAGCACGCAGGCTTGTCTAAGTTCTTTCACTTCTCTCTTTCCCACATTCTCTTTTCCCCGGTCTGTGACCGTCACATTCTTTCCACAAAACTCCATTCCTTGAAGAATCAAACCATCTGGTATACCGGTATACCAGAACCCTTACACTATCTTTATTTTTTTTCTCTCCTACAAAACCAAAACCTTCCCAACAAAATGAAGCAGGCTGGTTCCATCCTCGCCCTCGCCGGGCTCGTCTCCCTGGCCCAGGGTCACGGTTTCGTCACCTCCCCTCGGGCCCGTATGCCCGGTAGCGCCATGGAGAAGGCCTGTGGGCAGCAAGTGTACAACAACCAGGAGGCCGACAACTACGGCAACGTGCAGGGTGAGCTCCAGATCGCCTCGGGCCAAAGCGACTACGACGCCGACGCCTGTGACATCTGGCTCTGCAAGGGTTACAAGTACGCCGACAACAAGGACAACGTCTACTCGTACAAGGCCGGTGAGACCGTCGATTTTACCGTCGACATTCGCGCTCCTCACACCGGTACCGCCAATGTCTCCGTCGTTGACACTGCCTCCAACACCGTCATCGGCTCCCCTCTGATCTACTGGAGCGTTTACGCCTCCACCGCTACCGGTGTCACTGCCAACGAGACTAGCTTCAGCGTCACCATCCCCGATGACCTCGGCGATAAGTGTACCGAGGGCGGTGCTTGTGTTCTTCAGTGGTGGTGGAACGCTGCTTCCATTGATCAGACTTATGAGTCTTGCATTGACTTTACTGTTGGTGGCTCTGGCTCTTCTTCCTCATCATCTTCTTCTTCTTCGTCCTCTTCTTCCGCCGCTGCCAGCCAGCAAACTACTACCACTGCTGCTGCCGCCGCCGCTGTCACTACCCCTAGCACCGCCAACAACGTCGCTCCCGCTTCCTCTAGCGTCCCTACTACCCTCGCTACTAGCGTGAAGCAGAGCGCTACTGTCGCCCCCGTTGCTGCTTCTAGCGCTGCTGCTGCTGCTGCTGCTTCTTCCTCGGGTGTCTCCATCCCCACTGATGGTACTGCTGAGGAGCAGCTCACTTGGGTTGCTAGCTTGCTTAAGGCTCTTCTTAAGTACGCTAACTAAAGACGGTGCGGTGTGTATAGTTACTAGTTGCTGTGTTAGATAGAGTGGTGGTGTGAATAGATGTGCCTGTATATTGATCTTGTGTTTCGTAGTAAATGTAGTAGAGATGTAGATTTCGCATAGAGTTTCCAAATTTGAAGGGTGCTTGTTTGGCTGCTGATTATTCTATAACCGGCAGAGCACAGCAGTTGTATTGTAGTAAGAATACCCAATAAGTGTTTTTGATACTCAAGGGAGACTAGGCGTAGGTTTGTTTTAAATTTATATGGATTGTCATGTTCTTAGTTAGATAGTAGTAGTAGGGTTGTCTTGTAAGTTGGATGATGGCGATGGGTATGTTCTTTACCGCATATGGATAGTACAATGAAATGTAGTACTTAGTAGTGCGGGAGGAGCGATCGAAAAACAGGGTAGTAATGTAACTTACATCTAGAGCCTTTTTTTTTTTTTTTAAAGCATAGCATGCAAATGACATGCTAGGGTAAATTGATTATCAATAGACAATCCACCTATTAAGGTGTCAAGCGGATAGTGGAAGTGCTACTAGGCACAGCCAGTCCCGAATAGCCATATTGGCAACACTATAGCAGTAAGCACTACGAAGTGATACCCCACTAATAAGCTTTATCTCACTACGATATCTTACTGAATTTACTGCCTACTGATATACTGTGTTCATGTCAATAGGCACTTCATAAATACTAACGTACCAAACAAGCACATCTGGCAAATCAAATTCACTCCGCGGTAGAGGTATCACAAAAGGTATCGATACATCAAAAGTCAAACAAAAATCATTATCCAATCACCACCTTACAGTGCATACAATCTTAATAATGTTGCTGTACCGGTCGCTGCTGCTGCTGCTGTCCCTCCGCCCACCAATCAGGAGATGACCCCTCCGGGCGAGCCTGCTGCTGATCACCATATACCGCAGGAGCCACAGGAGCAGCACCAGTAGCAGCAGGTGCGCTAGTATCAGCAAACGGGTTCTGCACCTGGAAATCCTCCGATCGGTACTCAAACCGGCCTGCGCCGTTGCTATACGTGCGCGGAAGGACCGGAGCAGTCGAAGAAGAGCCCGAGGATAGCGGGCTTTGCGTTTGATTCCGAGGCGGCACCGGCGGCGCAGAAGCTCCTGCTGCTGCCGGGGCTGGGGGTTGCACGGCGCCAGAGGACGAGGCCTGACTGGAAGATGCAGGCGACTGGCTGCCGGATTGTCCCTGGGCGCGACGCGCCTGGAGCAAGGCGTGCTGGTGCTTGGACAGGGCGACGGACAGTTCGTCGTTGGATTCGATCAACGTCACGAGGGTATCCTCGTCTGGGGCGGGATTTGTGGCATGGATGTAGTTCTGGATGAAACGGGAGGCGGTGCGACACCGGTCGGAGAATTCTTTGATGAGCTCGTTCTCGAGCATCTCGGCCGGAGGCGTGGATTGGACGAATTGGATGAGGAGCTTCGCGGATGTCTTGGCCTCGGAGATGCGTGCGGAGAGTTCTTCGGGCTGTGGTAGCCCGCCATGCTGGTTCTGATTGGGGGCGTTGAAGTAGTTTGGGGTCTGTCGGTATGGCTGGACCAGGGGTTGTGTCAAGCCGGGCTGTAGGGAATCATAAGATTAGCTTGGCGATGCTTTGACTGAGTAGTGGGGGATGTCTGGTCACATACATTACCCGTATTCTTGGGAGCATACTTTTCCTTCTCCTTGCTCCACATCCCTAGGAGCAGCGCGAGATCTTCGTCCCATGCCCGCTGCATTTCCAAAGAATCCAACGTATCCCGCAAAAAGCTGTGTACATTCATATCCCGCCCGTTGCGGAAGAGGTCCTTCACAGTCGCCACGAACTTGGCGTCGATGTTCCGCGAAAAGGTATGTCCTGGATTGTCGATGAGGATGCGCATGAGCATGATCGCATTGTATTGCACATTGCTCCGGGCTTTGGCGGGATTGGACAACAGCTTGGAGATGCGAAGGGCGGCTTCGCGGGCGGCGTTGGGGCTGGATTCGGCGCTCTCGACGATGGCAGGAAGGTGGACGAACTCGTCTCCATTCTGAATATGTCATTGTAAGTACGGTCGCTATCAAGCAGGCGAGTAATGGGAATGAGGCGATTGAGGAAGGGGGAGGGGGTTCCGCAGGGTGGGACATACGGCGCTGTTGGGGCCCGATTCGCAGAACGCGGTCTATAAACCGTAGATGTGATTAGTTGGACGAGCTCAAACGATGATTCTGGATCAATACGAACCACTTCTCTAAGTATGATACCTTCCGGGGAGCCCTCGGGGTACGAAGGGGAGTCGCGCGCGGGACCTATTCTGAGGTGAGCATTGTCAACCGTCGCATGCCGATCAGCAACGGGTGGGAGAGTTAAGACTCACTGGATCGCCTGCTGAAGGAATTGAAGATGCGCTTCATGATGACTTGTCGCAAGCTATCACGGCTGGGTAGAGATAGACAGTAGGAAATGGGGTTGGCGAAAAATTTAAGTAGTAAGAAAGGGGGCCGTCAAGCAAACGAGACTAAAAAAGACGTCGCAGCCTCGCAGGGCCGGTTTAAGCGCCGCGGGGAGCAAAAAGCAGCGGAGAGTCCTTTAAACCAAACTTAGATTTTAGTCAAGATTAAGAGTCAATCTATCCATCCATCCATCCATCCATCCATCCATCCATCACTCCCGATTCTGAAGCAGTCGATCCGATGGCAATGCGCTTTGTCGGCGACACGCAAGCGCTCTTGTTTGCGTTTCTTGGGACGATCCAGAACTGACATAGAGAAGTCAAGAGAATAAGATCCACGTCTGCCTATGAATCTTGATGCCTGCTTGACTACCAAGACTCTGCAATGCGTACAGCATCCCGCACTGTCAGCGCAACCAACCGCATACAGCTACGTATGCAGGTTGGCTCCCCCCATTGTCCGTTAAGCATAGTTTTCCAGTCGTCATGGGGATGCGAATGCCTCGTCGGGAGAAAAGGCCGCATTGGACGCAGAATCCCATCGACACGGGAAAAGCTTTGGCTGATGGTCTGTTCGCAAGGGCCGATTGGAGCCTGTGACGGGTTGATGGTCACACACACAGCCACGCTTGGCTGAGCCAGAATACCCTCCCCTCTGACTCTGCCCATCTGCAACCTGCTGACGGAGGGGGAAGATGGGGAGAAGGAGTTCTGGAGTCGGGGGATGCCTGTCCACACACGCTGCAGCCTGCAGATCAGAGGGTCTAGCAGCTGTGGCGCAGTTGACTGTTACAAATGCACAGTACTCTTGTCGGAGACCAGAACAGACAGACCTATGACGGGTTGGCAAAGTAGCCAATTTCTACTAGTACTACGGAATCCTTATCATCCTACGCTTGTGGATCGATCCTGTCCGACTGGCAGGGCTGATGATGAACCTCCATCATCCTTCCTTCGTCTTCTTCTTTACAACTTCATGAAAGAAAAATGAATTCCGTATCCCATCATGAATTGAACGCTCGCAAAAAGTGTCCTGAAGTAGGAGAATGTCCGAAACCTGCCGTACCGATGTACGCCATCCATGTAGTAGTATCCACTATGATGAAGGAATAATTTTCCCTGGACTCCTTTCAGCCGCCTTAGCTCATGGCCAGGGACTATAAAGGAAAAAAAAAACTATCCAGTCGAACCGATTCTCCGGGGGGTGAAACGAGATCAATGTCTAAAGAAAGATGTTTGTCTCTGCATAAAGCAGAAGACAAACCATCATCATCACCATCATTTTTTTTTCGCCGGATGGTTTCGAATTTTTTCCATTTGTCAAAAAAGTAATAATTTCTTTTGTATTCCTTCCGTGACCAGGTATTGGATCCGTACAACAGCAAACTCCGGCATTCCCATTCAGTTTCTGACCACTTCACACTTTCCCCGACACCCACACACCGCTTATGCCTCAATGAGAGCACGGCGGAGCTGAGCACCACGCTGGCGGGAGCTGAGGCGGACCTCCTTGTTTTCGGCGGCCTTGGCGACGGTCTCCTCAGCCTCGGTGAGGATGAGCTCGATGTGGCAGGGGTTGGTCATGTAGGGGTTGATCTAATCCATATGTCAGTTTTGCGGGGATGCGTGACATAATAAATATCTCGGATTCCGGTTTCAACATACACGACCGTGAGCACGGTAGGTACGGCGGCGACCCTTGGGAGCCTGGTTGACCTGGATGTGCTTGACAACAAGGTTGCCGGTGTCGAGACCCTTGGTGTCGGCGTTGGCCTCAGCGTTCTTGAGGAGGTCGAGAAGGAACTCGGCGGACTTGACGGGCCAGCGAGCCTTGCTGACACCCCACTGCTTGCCTAGAGAGAAAGAAGACGGTCAGCGTCTTCGTTTACCAAAACGCTTGGTTTTTGCCAGATCCTCCGAAATCATATCCTCCAGTCCTGCCATCCCTTAGATTTCTGCCCATGTCGGTTCATTTGTCGACCCATAATTTCCATTCCCATCTCTTTCCAAAAACTCTGTAGAAAAAACACATCCACTCACCCTGAGCGCAGCGACCGGTGCTGCCAGCGTACCGACGCATGGGGACGGCCTCAGCCTTCTCGGTGACGTTGGTGAGGAAGGTAAGGGCACGCTGCAGCTTCATGCCGTTGATAGCCTGAGCGGTCTCACGGGTGTTCTTGAAGCTGACACGGAGGTAAGAGCCCCGAGCGCGGGCGCTCTTAGCGGCCGGAATGTCCTGAGCAGCGTAACGGACCTGATGGCGACAAGAAAAATCCAACAATCAGCAAGACCATTCATTCAATCCCTCTTGTATCATTTCTTCGTTTCCTCTTTCCCAAGCACATAATTCCATATAAAATATGCATATCGGTGGACAGATGTTCATCATAGCAGGGGGAGAGAGAGTCGAAAATTGTTCGGTATGAAGTTTTCCTTCATCGGCCAAAACGCAGGATCGAATATGATAGATAGGGATTCCGGTACAACGAGAGGTTGGGCAGCGGTTCTTTCTTTTCACGATATCTTTTTTCCCTTGCTTTTTTGACATGTCCGTTTTCCACCGATAGCAGCAAACGCGAATATAGCACTCACCATCTTGATGTGGTTGCCGAGCGGGTGGTCCTCGATGTCGGGTGAGAAGTTTTGTCGTTTTCCTGTCGTCGGCCGCTGGAACTTGAGATCGCGAGGCTCGCTCGTTGTGGTGCGCTTTTTCGCTCTTGGCGCCCGCCTAGGGTATCAGAGCCCTAACACTAAGCGGCTTGGGGCAGGTGCCCGCCTCACCGCCCGGCAGTATTGCCCTTTAGCTTTCGGTCCGTAGGTACTTCATTGTCTACTTCGATGTCAATTTCGTCGATCGATGGCTTTATAAGTATGTACATTGCTTATTCTTAGTAACTAAATGTCATATTTGTTAGATGTAATGCTGTCATATTCCTTTTCTGAAAGGAGTGAGGTGCTGGTCGTTTTGTTCATCGTGTTGTCGCATGATCGAATCATGTTCTAGTTCAGACATACGCTAAACCAATTTGGGCTACATAGTCAGCTCATTCACCCTGCAGTTAATGCCCTTTCACCAACTGGTCAATTATTTCGGCAACTGATAACTACATCAAAACTAATATCAGTGCAAAAAAAAACATCCGTCTCCGCCATTGACTATGAATTCATAGTATATATCATGAGGCTACAAGCCAGGGTCGATCAATATGAAGACTGTTTCGTATTCCTTTCTGGCCGTGGAGAGACCGGCGTATCCTTCCAGTTCACTGTCGGCTATCGACGCTCGGCCTCAAATCCCGATGCGGAGAATGCCCGCCCTTCCCCACGTTTGAGAGGCTGAATGCTGATATGACCGGTATGACTGAAAGACTTTGCAGCAGCCCCATAATCGGCTTCACTGAGATATTTGGCATGATATGAGACCAAGACGTTTACCAAACGCTCGCTCTTTTTAGCACCAGGGTGTTCGACATAAGGTAATATATGCATCAGACTGTGGCATCCCCAAGCTTGAGGAGCAGAGTTGTTATATAGTAGACAAATAGAGTTTAGATGCACACTAAATAGCGGTGCTGCATGCAACTGCATCTGCTAGTCTCCCCCTGCACCATTTAACACTCCTCTTAGCAGCTGGCTCCAAAAGCTGGTCGTCGCTCAGAAATCGTGGATACAACCCTCAGGGATTGACAACCACTCAATCTCCCCGAGTTCCGTCAGCGAAAAAGCCTACTTGAAACTGTCGAGGCTTTTGTCTAAGATCCCTAAGCGTAAGGCACCATTCTCCTTGCAGCGCGCGCTTGATGAGGTAAGTAGGAGTGTCACCATATGCTGCCCACCGGCCGACCCTTGTCGCTGCCATGATCGAGGTATATGCATCAATCGATGTTTATTTCCTCCGTCATAGTAGCATGTTCAGGCTACAGATAATGTAGCACGCACATGCAACTTGCGTGGCCGTATGCATCCAACAAAGGCTTTGCAGCAATGACATCCGCATGAGCAGCGATCACTCACGTAGCCAACTTAATCGGCCTGTAGGCAGTTCGTAAAACCATTAGCTAGATCAACAGAAGCGCTATCAGGCCACCGACATACCAAACAAGCAGGCCACCTTCCGAAGCCGTGCTTCAATGCGAGCGATGTGAATAGCATCTAACCTCACGTCGGTACCATCCCGGCGCCCCCCACAGCCCCGCACCGCCGTGGGGTCTTCAACCAGAGCCGCCAGAAAGCACGAATTTCTTCAATGGGCGGGGGTAAGGGTAATTTTTGATTGCGCTCCCTCTTGCGAGACATAGAAATCAGAAGAGAAGGCTACTGCTCATGTCGCCCGACCATGGAACCTGCCATGCCTGGGATCGCTCTTGTCCCGCTTGGAAGATGTCCTGGTTCTGGAAGGTATCTAATGCGAGTGTGTTGGCTCCCGATATTTGATCTCCAGAGACGTAATCCCCGACGGCTTCGAGATCCAGCCATGAGAAGTCATTCGCAGGGCTGAAGTGCACGTAGCTACTTTGATCGGACAAATGGTGCGATAATGCGCTGTTACTCTGCATCAGGACATCACCGCTTTGATGGGTTCCGGCTGGTGAAGTTGGTGCCATCGACTTCTGTTTCCAAAGGAGTTCAAGGAGTCGAGAATAACGCGATCCTATGTCATCAGATCCAGCGCTTGCTCTCTTCAGTACTTCGGTGGTCCGCGTCACGAGATCCCGCACTTTCAGCTCCTCCAAGTGAGACATTACTCCGAATGAGCGTGCCTTGAATGCACTGTTAGTTACTCATATGTACATTCGTATCTCAAAGGATATTACCTTGTACAGAAATACGGCTGCGTAGATCCCGTATAAATAATACCTCAACGGCATAAAATGAAGATGCTTTTCTGGGTGAACCACATCAACAAGGATGGTCAGGTATGTTTTTGCGGCATCGACCGATTCATAGATAAACCGAGCATCCTGCATCGAGGCCACATTGTTAAACGTTGCTCGCAGATGATCTCTTTGAGCCTTGTCATCGTTCCTGATCTTGGACACAAGCGACTGGGATATTGCCGCCTGGAAGGCAAAAGCGTTTGTGTATAGCCTCAGGTATTCGTAGGACAGCTGTAACGTGGTTTTCATTGGCGGTGAACCTACGAATTGTCAGTCAACCAGGCCAAACTTCGTCGGAGCTGAAACTTACAAGACAGAGAACCCCAGATAGACTTCCATCGCAAGATTGCAAGGCGAAAATCATCCACGTACTTAACATAGTCGCCCATGAGCATCATTTGATTGCTCGTACGCATGCCAGAATAGAGCACATCGTGAACATTTCCGTAAAGTTGCGTCAGATCCAGGGTAGCCTGAAATATCTTCGCATAATCCTCATCACCGTCTCTAGCGGGTTGCAACGATGGAAAGTCTTGGCTGACAAGGCCAGTCATCGGACCCGGCCCGCGAGACCAGAAAGCACGTCCAATACGAACAGATATCAATCGGTCCGATACGTAGCAGCTCGTCCATGCTAGCCGCCTACGAGCTTCTGTCTCCGCGTCTCCAGAAGAATCGCCTCTGAATGACGTCCTGTCTAGGCCAAGAAACCAACCAGATCGCAAGGCGAGCCCTACATGCATCCAGGCAGCTCGATCTTCCTCTCCACGGCCTACACGTTCAATGCGCGGTCGGAGGCCTTGGGGTTCCCATTCCGCCAAAATAAGAAGAGCCTCCACAGCTTCAACATCGCAATCGGCTCCAGCAGCAATTCCAGATATCAGCTCATGCATGTACTTAGAACAGTACTCGTGGATCTCCGGCCGTTCGGCTAGATCTTTCGAAGCAATTGTGAGGACGGCAGTAAGCAGATGCTTCTCGTTATTAGCAAATGCATCTAGCGCACTGCGATCAAAGTACTTTCGTGGCACCAAAGGAAGGTACGGATGGAAGTTTTCAGCGTAGCGAACCACTAACTGCCATACCGTTCCCGGATCTAGTGAGCGTGATTGCACTAGCCTGTACGCTTTGATGCCGCTATTTGACTGAAACCCAGTAACAGAACTGTCTTGAAGTGCCGTGTATGATGAGAATGCACTGGGTCCTGTACGCAGAGGTTCGACGCCCGTTTCGGCGCTCGGGTCTTCTGTACCTCTCTTCGCAATGCCCGTCAGACACTGCCAGGCATCAGACGGATTGCGGGGAACATCGCCGATAGAAGCTTCGTCTTCATCATCATCAACGGAGATTGAAGTTGCGGTCGGCGGATCAGGGGGTAGGAAGACAACGGGACCAGGGTAAGAACTAGACGTCGTTTGACGAGTCTCTGAATTGGAAGGGCTTGGTGCCTCAATGACGGAATCCCTTCGCACAGAAGAATTGCTGTCTGGTGTGAAATTTTTGATTTTATTCTTGCGAATCCGCCGTCCCCCTCGATTGGAACTGCCTAGGACACATTCACGGTTATCCCTGATACACCGCTGACATGGTGGGACTCCCGGGCTGCCACTGCTATCCCTGTGTTACATTGTAATTAGCCTCCCAAGATCACCGACAGGCAGGAAAAGCTGAACCGAAATAACGTGGGAAATAAAAGGAGGAATAAACGTCTGTCACAGTCATGACTTACAGGTCGCATTTCGACTTGCGCTGTCTACAATGCAGACATGCTCTTGACACGCGTTTCATTAAATGATCTGAACGGGCCTTGGCTCTTGACGTCGGGGTCCCTTCGACTGGCGGAGATTGATCGTCTTGCTCCATCGCTGCATACAGCACATTAATCTCTTCAGCTTACAGCGTCAAGTGATAGAATTCCAATGCGACATCTCATCCCAGCAGTGCTGACAGGTCGGCTTGGGAACGAAACGCGTCAGTAATTCCCTCCTGCGATTTTTGCTTGCAAAGATGGAAAGTGTAAGAGACGAATAGACGGGAATGCTTTCCTCTTGATGCTAGGAAACAAGGTTGAATCCTCTGCAGAGCAGGGTAAGAGAGATCTCGGGGTGTTGCTCGACTCCGAACAGTTCCTATATGATTGTTGGGGTAACTTGAGCTCCGGACGGGCGCTCGTGGCTTCCCCACACAAGTTGGCTTTTAAGGCACCAGCAACTCTGTACAAATTGCGCACTAAGTGATAATCCGCCTCGTAACCCCAAATCATCGACTCAGCAGTCGAGAAGGGCCAGGCTGCGGGGGGGGGGGAAGGATTTGTAAACGCTGCAGACTTGTGAGCATTGCGTTTTTCCTGACCCACGGCCAAGGAATAATCTGGTATTACTCATCCCATACATACGGGTATTCAACGAGTCGGCAATCCAAGGCTTTCAATATGCAAGACCGGGCAGCTGTTGATCTCGACGAAGAGTTTAAGCTTAATTCAATCTTAAGAGCTAGTTCGTGCGCTGCTTTTGAATTCAATCAGAAGTACTGACTGCATGATGTCGAAGTCATAGCAGAGGTTCTCCTTATAAAGCTGATGTGGTGCCTCTGGTGGCAAGCACATGGATATATAGAAAGCCTGCAGCGGGCCATACTATGAGGAATCCATCTAATGTCTGTCTAACGCATCTGTGAGAATCACTAAACCTCAGATCATTAGCCCTAGGGACACTTCAACTATGTAGCTTATCAGATCCTTGAGAGCTATCAGTGAGATAGATTACTTTGCTTTACTGATCCGCTTATTGGATGGTGAGATGCAAGGCAATGATGCTTGTACAAACAATCGTCTGAAATGGCCACGCAGCTCCCACACACCAATTACGGAGATGTTCAATGCATGACCTCATACTCTGAGCACTTTCCTGAGATCATGCATTAGCATAGCTAATTTTCCGGATTATTCCGTGCCTTTTGCCAAAGAAACCAGCATTTCCAAAGCACCCCAACTCCATGAGATGTCATTTGTACGAGTTACCATACAAGACGCAAATCGGAGCATTCCCGAACAAAGTTCAATAGCCGAATGCGGGGCGTCGGCGTTCGAAGCGCAGTGTCGGCAATGTAATTTCCCCAAAAGGGAATTAGTCGCTGTTGCCCCGCGCGCGGAGGAAGAGGGACAGCTATTTATTATTAGCAGGACAGTAAGGATGACTCGTCGCCATCGATTATTGATTTGGTGGCAAGAGAATTTGGAAGACTATTCCTCCCTCGTTGAGCTGCACAGCAAGATACACCTCTAACGCTAATACTTTGAGAAACGAAAGGACGCTTGACAGCAAATTACTATTCTTAGTAACCATCTAAGCGCGAAACAATCACAATGTCGGCCGCAGTTGCGTCGCTGTTTTCCCTCAGCGGCAAGACCGCCATCGTGACAGGAGGAACTAGGGGCATTGGGCAGGCAATGGCTTTTGCCCTTGCCGAAGCTGGTGCCGATATCATCTTGATTCAGGTGCGCACAGCCGCGACCTCCCCATTGGCGCTACGGAAATGACAGGGGAGCCGTGACGAAACGTCGTGTGGAACTAACGCTCTACGAACAGAGAGACGAGTCGAACACTTCGACTCGCGATGAGATCGTCAATCGCATTGGCAGGAAAGCTTGGATCCACGTGGCAGAGTTGTCGAATCGGGAATCGATCAAGGGTGTCATTCCAGCTCTGACCAGTCAAGGCCTCAAGCCTGAGATCCTACTCAACTGCGCCGGAATTCAACGGAGACACCCCAGTGAAAAGTTCCCGGATGAAGATTGGGATGAGGTATGTGTCAAAGAGTCTCCTTTTTCAGCCACCTATTTACCTCTGTCTATTTTTGGACCTCCCTTCTCCTGAAGTGGAGCTGAAGACTAGATACTGACTATGGAATTATGTAGGTTATCCAAGTCAATTTGACGTCCGTCTTTACGTTATGTCGGGAGTTCGGTGCATACTTGTTGGCGCGAGATGAGTCGGAGTTCCCAACTGGTCGTCGTGGAGCCATCATCAACGTCGCATCGCTCCTCACCTTCCAGGGAGGTATCACGGTACCTGCATACGCAGCGTCAAAGGGAGGTGTCGCGCAATTAACGAAAGCCCTCTCCAACGAATGGGTGGCTAAGGGTATCAACGTCAATGCAATTGCTCCCGGATACATTGCCACGGATATGAACACTACCCTGATCAATGATTCCAACCGCAATGCTGGTATCATGGCTAGAATCCCGGCGGGAAGATGGGGCAAGCCAGAAGACTTCAAGGGCGTGATAGTGTTCTTGGCAAGTCAAGCGAGTAGCTATGTCTCAGGTGAAATTATCACCGTTGATGGCGGTTGGATGGGACGGTAAAAAGTTCTGTGGCGGCAATTTTTTTTCATGTTTTCTTTTCGTCCCTATTTCCCCTGACTATTTTTGTCTGCATTTTTGCCCTTGCTGTGCTAGGGGTCTGGTTGAAAGTGATAGATGGAATATACACCAATGATGTAAAACACCTGCTTTCACACCACGCGATACTCAGCGTTTTCTAATCAATATCTGAAGGATGCTATTATCAGGTCTTTCTTGCCTTAGTCTGTCATACCAGATTAGCGGCTGCTCAGGATATATTAGGTGAAACTCGTTCGTCGCGATAGACTGGTTATCTCTGCTAGCATTCTATGCTAGGCGCCAAGGGAGCACAAAGGAATTATTTAATTGAAACTCCGGATGAAATGACCGATTCAAGGGAAACCGCTGGCACCTGGAAAGGTTATAGATTGGAAAAAGTCTCATCCGTTACCAAGAGATCCCACCAAGATAATAGCAAGTGAGGAAAACTCTTCCGAAAATAATGAAGCAGGTCCGCCAGGGACCGAGGATCCAGAAGGGTGGGCAGGCAATGGGAGAAAAGGTAGAGTAATAGACTGACACCAAATTAGATTAAACAGGGACAGACTAGGGACCAGACCCGTGACCGCCATGTGACTTTTTCTAGGCAATTAATCTCCTTATCGCCAAACCCACCTTCTTTGGTCTTTCTCCAGTCCACCTCCCACTTGAGGTTCATGGATAGCCTTGTTTCACCATGGGTTCAAGCAAAGATGACAGGAACACCCAGGCTACCGTTTGCTCCTTCTCTGCAGGTTCATGATAGCTAACCCTTCAGCAGAGCAGTGTTGTCGGTGGATTTCCAGTGGGCCGTTGCTGCTGCTTAGCATGCAAATCACGGCCAATACGGGTCGGTCGTTTCAGTCCGAATTGCAGAACCTGAAACGTGAGGAACCAGACCGAAGGCCAATACATCATGCTCACCAGCGGCTATCTGGTGAACTTGGTACAATTGGCTGGTTATGGGAAGCATCATAAGGTGGGATTGAAAGGTGGTAAGAGGGCGCGGATTGGAAACAGGGCCTGCGTTGACGCCCTCGGTCGGCCATGTTCCTGCAAGCGGCCGTTTCCGCGGTTGGTTGATAGGAGCCAAGAGCGCTAAACACCGGCCAAGCCCAAAGGGCTGGCTGTCTCTATCAGAAACAACGATGCATTTCCTTCAGGGCGCTTTGCTCCGTAGAGACCACTCGATAGGTTCGGAACCAAGCGCAGAGGCCAGTCTTGGCGGCGCTCATGGCAACACCCCTTCAGGACCACGCCATTATTGCTTTTTTAGCAGGTTTTGTGGACTGGGTCATTAGTCCCTTGGGCCTCCAGCATGATCTCAAGTATGATCCGCGCTGGACTTTCCTTTTCGCTTAAAGTTTCTTGCTGCGCCGTGGATCTCCTTCGGGTGACAGGGGATCTTTCTTCAACTTTACACTCTAAGTTGTGCTTCGTTCCTTATTTCGTTCATTCTATTTCCACCAACACATTCACTTCTCTGAGCCAGCTGGCTGGTGGCCGTTCTTTCATTGTGTGGCCAGTCCATTCAGCGAGTCAGTCTATTGTTTCAAGACATTGCCATTCGTGTTCTTGAGCGTAGACCGTCTTCGCTCTTTGTTCGGATACCGTCGATCATTGGTTACATCTCGCTACATCTAAACGTCATTCATCGTGGGGGTGGGCAATTTACTTTCTTTACTACAACACTAGACGTCAGGTTTTTTTTTACAGTACCTTATCTTTGGGAACCTTTAGTTTCCCGGTTTGAATTATCTGATTCTTTCTACGACGCTGTGCGTCCCCTGTCCTCTTGCTGGAATTTTTCTTCTTATATCATGCATGTAGGGAAGTGGAGGTAAGTGATGATCGAAGGCTGGCTCAGCACTTATGACGCTGGTAATGACTCAATGTTGGAGGACTTGCAAGATTCAACTCGTCAGATTCGCTACCTCGTACCGTGTTTCCAACATTCTTCGGCTCCTTTAGCTGCAATTGCTCGTGACAACGCCTTGGTCATTTGCGCATACCGTCTCACCAACACCATCACCTCTCCCGCCTGATCAGGACGGCTTCAACAAGCACTTATTTGAAGGGGAGACATCTCGAGCTTTTTGTATATCAAAACCACACACAAGAGCCGTTTAACTTGATCGTGCTCCTCTTGCTGTGGGGGTTTGCCGTCTGAGATTCCTTGGGCATAACGCGCCTCTCCCCACATTCTTGGTGTTCCCTAGCCATTCAGTATCTGCGTCATACTGGACCGTAACCGAATTATAATTGGAAATCGTGGCTTTCAAGAATTTGCTGCCCTTATCGACCCCCGCTCAGCTTTGTTGACATCTGTCCGATCTGTCCGCTCTGTCTCTCCATCTTGAGCGACTGCGTGCTACGCTGGGCCGTAGATCTCTCTATCAATGGATGAATCCCACCATCGACTCATCCCGCGAGGCTATGGGATTAATGCCACCTACGTCTATGAATACTCGCGTGGTCTGAACGGTGTTGATGTCCCGCGGGATGTTCTGTTTTCACGGATCATCTTCTCGTCCTTGATATTCGTCGCCCTGGTTGTCTTTAGCGGGCGTGTCGGACAAATCAGCCATGCCTATCTTCGTCAAATTACCTCTCTAACGGCAAGCAGGAGAGAGCAGACCTTTTGGAGCGTTGAAGTATCTTCGCTTTGGGCAAACGTCAAGAAGCATCTGTTGTATGCGCCCCTGGGCAGGAAGAGGCACAACCGAGAAATCCAACTTTCATCCGCCATCAACGTCGGCACACTGCCTTCTAGATTCCAGGTGATTCTAGTCGTGCTATATCTGGCGAGTCAGGTCGCTTATTGTACTCTGCTTGATTACAATGCGAACGTCAAGGCAGCCCTTGTGGCTGAGCTTCGTGGACGTTCAGGTACCTTGGCAGTGTTGAACATGGTGCCCCTTTTCATCCTCGCCGGTCGCAACAATCCGCTTATTCCCTTGTTGCATGTGAGTTTCGACACCTACAATCTCCTTCATCGTTGGTTGGGCCGGATAGTTGTGCTTGAAAGCATTGTGCACACGTGCGCATGGGCAGTAAATGCTTGCGACGAGGTCAGCTTCTCTGACATGCTCGAGCGTTTACGCACTACACCTTTCTTCACCTGGGGCCTACTGGGAACTTGCTCCATGATCACACTGGGTCTTCACTCGCCATCCCCGATCCGGCATGCTTTCTATGAGACCTTCTTGCATCTGCACCAGCTCGCCGCTTTCCTAGCCTACCTTGGTGTGTTGATGCACTTGGATCTCGACAATCTCCCGCAAAAGCCGTGGATTATAGCGCTGGGTCTTCTCTGGCTATTGGAAAGGACAGCCCGCCTCTGTCGACTTCTGTACTTGAATATCTCTCCCCGAAGAGGGTCCACACGGCTTGTCGTGGAAGCCCTCCCAGGTGAAGCCTGCAGGGTGACTTTTCACTTGCCCAAGCGTGTGCGCATCAGCCCCGGAAGCCATGTGTACGCCTACATCCCAAGTGTCTCCTTTTGGATGTCGCATCCATTTTCTGTCGCTTGGGTAGACCCAAGCAGCTCCGTGACCGTTCCTGCTACGACAGAAAAAGATCTTATCGACCCTTCGCTTCTCGAAAAGCAGCCACTTGCTAGTTTGGATGAGTATATGCGGGACTCCCAGGAGCCCACGTCCGTTTCCCTCATCGTTGGTGCTCGACAAGGCATGACACGGAAGTTGTACAACAAAGCTCTGGCCTCGCCTGGACAAACACTCTACACCTCGGGGCTTATTGAAGGACCCTATGCGTCCCATGCGTGCAACATGGGCAGCTATGGTACAGCTATACTCTTCTCAGCCGGTGCAGGCATTACCCATCATATGCTATACGTCCGCGACTTGCTCATACGCTCCTCAGAGGGTCGCGTGGCTACCCAGAAGATCTACCTCGTATGGTCTGTACGCAGTACGGAACATCTAGCCTGGGTACGGGAGTGGATGGACCAGATCCTCCGGCTTCCATCGAGGCGCGAGATTCTTACCATCAAACTTTTCGTGTCCAAACCAAAAAGCAGTCGCGAAATCGTATCACCCAGTGCGACCGTCCAAATGTTCCCAGGCCGGTGTCGCCCCGACGTCGTTCTCAACGAGGCCATTCCCCAACGTGTGGGTGCCACCATTGTCTCTGTCTGCGGGCCTGGTGCATTCGCAGACGAGGTGCGTGCTGCTGCACGTAACAACATTGGAATGGGCGCCGTCGTCGATTTCGCCGAAGAAGCCTTCACATGGTAGTCCACCATACAAAATTGCCACCTTTGCCTTGGGATATATTCATTCCTTTTATTTTACTAACCTTCGATTCTTGTTCCAAAATTTCTCTTCTCGACTTTCGTTCAAACATTTACTTCAGATGTATATTTAGTTTCCCCTCTATTAGTCCCACTTCCCATGGCAATTGTTCTCTGTTGGTATTTCACACGATGGTACGAATTGCTTCAAAGCCTAGCTAGCTATGTTTGGATTTTTCAGGCAATACACCTTCAGCGGCATATCTTTTCAAGGTGTCAATATCCTCGCGACTGCATATGAGCCCCCTTGCCCATCACTCACGTATTTGTCACGCACTTTGGCCACATGCAATGTAACCACCGCCTCAGAAAGATTGTCTAGCACATGCACAACTATATATCATTATACAAGGATCTTAAGTAACTATGGTCCCGCACAAATCAGAAAAGAATATAGCCATATAAAATTATACAGTCCATCCACATACAATCCATGCACATTCCTATGTAGTAACTCATGATCATCACTCCGTAGATGTAACAAACAAAGTATGTATATAAGTAAGTACATGATATCATATAGTCTCATATTATGCAAAATCATGGCGTCGAAAATCCCTCTTTTTGTTTATTACTTTTTTTTTCCCCTTTCAAAATGGGGTAGGGTTCTAATAATAATTGATTACCCATATTCTGGATATTCAGATGGGGGTCTCATAAACATAATTTATGTGTAACGCTACGATCAGTAGATGATATGATAACATGAGATGGTGGATGATGTATATTTATTCCTGTATGAGAATGAAGCACCTCATACTGACAAATAACTAGGTGAAGGTGAGTGAGTCAGTTTAGTTATGGCGCATGTTTCTTGGTCTTACGTATACTAGTTAGCAGCGGAGTGGGGCGGGGCGGGGTGGAAGGGTAAGGATGATGGGTTAAGGTATTTTGTACTACGTTTGAGGGGAAGGGTGCTTGTCAGATGAGGTTGAGTGGTCATTGCTGGCTGCTAGAGGGGTTTGGGGGGTTGTTTTGGTAGAATGACTCTTTGTTCAGGAATGTGTACAGTATGAAAGGATTGGGTTTGATAATCTGAGCGAGTATTGAGTTGTTTGTTCTATCTATTATCTGATCTTATATGCCATATACATCTGTAGTGATTTGAAAAGTAGAGACAATAAGGGTGAGATGAGTGAAATATTGTATCATGAGCAAGAGATGATGATAACGGAAATCTAGCAAACGCTTATAAGCAAAACATGTCGAAGTATCCATCTCACGTAGGATCTAACAGGCATTATGTCCAATATACATGATAGTGTTACCAAGAACAAGAATTTATGTTCAAAGAAGAAAAGGATGGGAGTAAGAAGGAAGAAAAAACAAAGAAATTCACACTTTTATGCCTTGGTCCGCTGGCCCTTGGGCACACGAGCGAGCCAGTAAATGAACACGGCAGCGAAGATGTTGAATGCAATGTAGACCCACATCAGGCCGAAGTTGCGCCATGCGTCGCTGAAATAGCTGTTCACTTGGGCCAGATAGGTGTCTGTGCTGGAGATCGTGCAGAAGGAACAGTCGGAGGTGGCATTCGGGTTCTCAAGGTAGCCGCCGTGGCTGCTGATGTAGTTGGACATGTAGCTTTGGCAGGTGGTGTCAGGAGGAGGGCTGAAGTGAAGGTATTCAACAGCTTCGCAGGTAGCAGTCGTGCCTGACACACCGGTGGCTAACATGCCTGATACCAGGTACGTGAATGGCGAGACACGGTACATGAAGATCCAGAAGCCTGGAAGTTGAGAAGGTGTGGCAAGGACACCACAGAAGATCAGGCACAGGGAGAAGAGCAAGTTGGCAATGTTACCACCGGTTTCAGCGAGTTCAATACCAGCGATGATCATATGCGCGAATGTGGAGGTGAACAGGAGGAAGGACAGGATCAGCAGGAACATCAAAGCTCCGCGCTCGTGGACGGCGTTGGTGGGCTCAGCATTCTGGTACAGACCGATGGGGTAGTACCAGCATACAAAGATAATGACACTCATGAGCGCGTTCCATGGAAGCTCGACGATGATGTTAGCGGCCATGAAAGCCTTCCACGAGTAGGCCTTGGAGGGTCTCTCACGAGCCTCGTATAGCGAACGCTGGGTGCAGAAGTTGGGAAGAATTTGCTGAACAAGGTTACCGAAGATGGTCATCAGCATGAAAATACTGAACATCTGGTTCTGGAGACCCTGAGCACTGTTCTTCGCCTTGAAGAAGGAGAAACCGATGTAGAGTGATGTCAGAATGCAAAGCGCGATCTTGGAGTAGATGTAGACAGGGGTTCTCCAGTACTGCGAGAAAACACGGGTCAAACACTCCCACAATTGAACAGAGAAGGGTGCAGCAAATTCGTTGAGCTCGCCAGGGTCCTGCTTGCTAGTATCAACCGGCTTTTGCGAGAGAGTAGACTTCAACTCAGCGAGGTGATCAAGTACCCCCTGACGTTCGGGGCTTTCGCGCCAGACAGCGGGCCAGTCAATATCACTATGCGATCCAGGGGCAGCACCAATGACCTCAAGCATCCATTCAGCTGGATTGGCTTCAGTAGGCAGTTTCGGAGCACCATTCCGTTCGAAGTAGCTAGCAAGAGTCGACGACTTGTCACCGATTTCGCCAAAGTAAACGGTCTTACCACCCTTAGCAAGGAACAACAAGCGATCGAAACGCTGGAAGAGCATGGCGGAGGGCTGGTGGATCGTGCACAGAATGGCCTGACCGTGCTTGGTCAGGGTATCGATGAGATCGAGAATGGACCAGGAGGTTTGACTGTCAAGACCGGATGTGGGCTCATCAAGGAACAAAAGTAGTTGCGGCTTCGCTGCCAATTCAACACCGATAGTAAGACGCTTGCGTTGCTCGACGTTGAGACCTAAGATGTATTAGTTTTGTAGCACACCAGCAGGGTTTGTGGGGATCAATTACCTTCACCAGGAACACCGACAACAGCATCGGCATATGCTTCCATACCAAGCAACTTGATGACTTCTTCAACGTAATCGAGCTTTTCCTGGCGACTGACATGGGCGGGCTGACGGAGAATGGCGCTGAAGCGCAGAGCCTCTCGGACGGTGGTAGTGTGAAGATGAAGATCTTGTTGCTGAACATAACCAGTCTTGCGCTGGAAGGACTGGTCCCGAGGGCGACCGTCAACCAACATCTCACCAGTTACAACACCCATTGTCACACGGGTTGCGAGCACGTCCAGAAGAGTAGTTTTGCCAGCACCAGAAACACCCTGCAAGCTTGGTTAGTCTCGATAGTACGTTGATGAACCGGTTGGAAGGCTTACCATAAGAGCAGTACAGGTTCCAGGCTTGACCCAGCCATCGACGTGGTCCAAAATGCGCCGGGGCTCGCCCTTGATCTTGATGTCGTAGCACACATCCTGCCAGTGGAAAATGGCCTCCTGCCTCTGAATAGCAGCGCTCGACTGGCCACCAGACCGGTCAGTCTTCTCGTCTGCGGCGACGTGATGGGCCGTTTCAACATCGTCGAGAGAAGGTGGAGCTTGACCACGGCGGAACAGCAACACTTCACCCTTGGACTTGGCTTCCGAGATGAACTCGGTGGCAAGCAGATAGGTAGTCATGAAGAAGATCATAAAGGCGAACATGATACCCAAGTTCCTCCACTTGTGGCTGTCATAGTACTGGAAACTCTTGTGAAGGTAGTCATCACCCTGGACGTACTTGGCTCCAGCAACAGCGCCGACCGTGGAACAGATCTGGTACTCGATCGAAGCGCCCGAGTAATTTGGAATCAGCTCCGATTCAGAGCACAGGAATTGACGATGATGAAATTCGTTAACCATCAAGCTCTCGAATCCGTAGGCAATGGGGTTGATGTAGTTCATCCATCTCGACCAGCCAAGCATGTATCTCGTAGGAATGGTGAATCCAGTGTAGATGACCAGACCCAAGATGAGGATGGCAGCGGGCACCAGAGCCTGAGAAAGAGTGCGAGAAGAGGCAGCGATGGTTCGGAAAAGCATGGACATTGTCAAGGTCGTCACGAAGGAAAACAACAGGAAGACGAAGAATGCGCCTGGTTCGCGACGAAGACCGGTCATGAAATACAGAGTAATGTTGAAGATGATGGCATTTCCAACTTTGTAAGGCATGTCACAAAGCATGGATGCGATGGCTTCGGCGAACGGGTGATACATGGCGTAGCGGGCTTGTTTTTCGACAATCGGACGTTGAGCATACAGGGTCAAGATCTGTCATTGCGGTTAGTCTCTTTTATTGGTTATGCGAAGCCAGAAGAGATTGCTGAGCTTACCTCAAGAGCACTAGAGAAGGCGTTGAGCAAGACGGCGAAGAAGAGAAGAGCACCACGGGAGTAGAAACTAGAAGTCACCGGTTGCAAATTGTAAAAGACACTTCCAATGATCAAGGCCATGATGAAGTTTCCGACCAACTGGGAGATGGTCAAACTGGCATCGCCTTGTAGTCGCTGAAATCCTCGAATCAAACAGAGCTTGACCTGTTCGTAGAGAGAAATGGTGTAGGGAGACTTGACGCGCTGGTTCTTCGATTGCATGGCCTTGCGAGATTCAATGAACTTGCCAAGCGACTCTCCACCGATTGCAAATTCTTGGTTGTACTCGGCAATTTGTCTCTTCAGCCTACTGTAGGCCTCACTGCTCTTCCAAGCGGCGGCAAACTCGTCAGGGGTGCGTGGAACCTTGCCTTCGTAACCCGGCTTCACAATGCGCTCAGCAGGGCTGGTCAGGGAGGTCAGGAAATCAGCGGTGGTCTGACGCTCAGGGCATTCAAATCCCATGTTGGTAAAGAACTCCTTGGCTTCATCGGTAGGACCGAAGTAGATCTGCCTGCCCTCATACAACAAAGTCACCTTGTCGAAGACATCGTAAGCACTCTGGGAGGCTTGATAGATGGCCACGGCGACTGTCGCACCAGCGTACTTGGTCATCAAATTCAAGGTCTTGCAGAATTCAAGTGCGTTCGCACTATCCAAACCACGAGTACTGTTATCCCAGCACTGTAGAGGACTTCCACAAAGAGTAGCTTCAGCGATACTGACACGCTTGCGCTCACCACCACTCACACCACGGACGAAGTCGTTACCGACACGGGTGTTGATGGTATGCGAAAGACCAAGCATAGCCATAACAGCGTCACGCATATGAGTCGCATACTGCTCCTTCGAGACTCCAGGGAAACGGTTCCGTGGGCAGCGAGAAAGAGCAGCGAATTTAAGAGTGTCGCCGACAGTCAATTGGGGGAAGTGCACATCGGTTTCCGCGGTATAGATAGCTTCGCCCTTGAACTGCTTCCGCATCTGCTTGGCCGAGATACCCTGGTAATTCAATTCAGACTCCTTGTCCATGTAGATACCGTTCATTTCACCCGCAAGGGTCTTCAAGAAGGTAGAGCATCCACTACCAGGACGACCGAGGACCACCAGCATTTCACCACTCCTGACAAGACCATCGAAGTCGCGGAGGATCTGGATCTTCTGCTTTCCAGTACCCGTCAGCTTGCGCATAAGGGCACCAACCTGCAGCACCGAGTTGAAAACATCCTTTTGGTAATCGGTAGGACTACCGAAACCATGGATACTAAGATTCTGGAACGAGACACCCGCCTCACGCTTGGGATAGCGTTCCGGATCGCGAGACGAAAGCGCCAACAAGTTCTTCATCCAGTGCCTCGCCTTAAAATTGGGACTGTGCGGATTCAGCGTGGAGTCGTCCTTCACCTCCAGAAATGAGTTCTCCGCGTTGTTGCTGACAGAGAACCGTGTCGATTGACGAGTCAGTTGCTGTGCAAGTCGAGTGACCTCCTCTTCGGCAGCTTTTTCCTCTTCATCTTCATCAGCATCTTCGCTGCTGTAATCGCGTTTCTCCATGGCGGTTTCAGCAGTACTCAAGGTGCTTCCGTCCATACCCCAGGCAGTTCCCTTCTTCTCGGATCTGCCAGATTCTGGGGAGAGACTTGTGTGATGCTCTTCATGATGGGTCGTGTACACCGTGTGCTCCTCGCGAACCAAGTGCTCAGTTCCTTCGTTCACTGCAGCAGCTCTCTCGGCTTGAGCGCCTTCATTCTCGTTCTCATGGCCGCCGTGGGATTCCACCGAACGACCGGGATTAATATTAGGATTTATAGTGCCTAGAAGCGACATGGTGATTAGATATGGAGACACGCAGTCTCAGACTGAGCCGGTCAACGAGAGGATGCCAATAGCATAGGAGAAAAGTATGAGGAGAGAGAAAAAGAAGGAGGTGTGGAGAAAAGACGATTAGGAGAGATATCCAGAATTATAAGAATAGATATCAGGAATATCAAGAAAGATGAAGGGGGGAGATATCCTCCGTGGAGGCGAGTGAAAGAGTGACAGGTGAAACTGAGGGGGAGGGAATAATTGATAGATAGCAGCAGTAGAGAAATAAGTGGCAGCCGCTAAGCATAAAAAGTATCCAGTACCTGGAGCTACTAGAAAACGGCCCCCCCTCCAAAAGACGTGTGCCCCGTAATACACTGAACACTCTTAAATTGTAAGTTGCAAAGTAATATCTGCGAATAATGAAAGAGGGAAAAGGGCGACAGAAAAACCTTGGGTTGCGGGTCTTAGAGGTCTGGGCTTCACCCCCCGTTTTTAGTGTTAGGCAGCGCAGAATGGCGACTTGAGATGGGAAAGTTTTGAGAAGAGGCTTCTGGACGAATCGGGGCCAGGAACGAGAGGTTATCCGGGCGGATCCCAGGATTGACTGCGCCGGTGGTGGGCCTTGTTCTCGGTACCTTCAAGCAGGCCTCTCCGTGCGTATTTCCCCCGGCAGCAATACGACAATACGCCGTTTACGCCAGACTAAACGAGGCCGTCCCTCTGCAAAGGTCCTACACTTCAGTACAGAGCACTACACTAAGGTTTCTGGTGGTCCCGGAGATACCCACCTCAATACCCCTGTTAGCTACCTACTAAGGCCGATGTTACTATGATCTGGGGACGGAAATTATTGAGCTCCCGCGATCTATCTATATCATCTGTCTCTAGCCCTGACATTTGTAGCGGTCACTGGCCATGGTGATAAGTAGACCCTGACGGTTTGCCACAGAGATCTCAATAATCACAATGCTTGATTTCTAGCTGCTTTACTTTTTTACTCTTCTTACACCGCCATAAAGGACATTGTGTAGTGTAGTACTTCAATAATATCAAGTATGCTTCAGGCAATATTAGGCATGATGATTGCATGCATGAAGATAAGTGATAACTAGTCACATGTCGCTCATGTCACACAAGCTATTGTTAGGTACTCGGAAAAAATTCCTGAGAAACCCACCAAGAAAGTAAAAGAAAAGAAGCCTGCACATAGACCTATCGAGGAGCTTACGCTACGTAGCAACGAACAAGAATTCTGAATCATCAAATAAGGAGTCGGATCCTTCGCGCAATAACTAGTTAAATCAGGAGCTGAGTCAAGTAAGGCTCATCCCGATGGCTAATAAGCAAACCCAGTTTTCCAGACTTCCAAGTGTGCGAATTTTCCCTAAAACGTGGCGAAAACGAGGTTCGGGGCTGAGCGGCCATTGTCCCAAACAGGAATGGCAGCTTCTGGGTGGGGCGGAGTGGGGCGGGACTCCAGCCTTCCGAGGCCCGGCCATTTAGTCTCTAATTGCCCCTTTACGGTACCGTATCGGAGACCTCACGATCCGATGTTGCGGTACAGATCCTAATGCACCCTTTTCTACATAAATGACTCAGCTATGCTCGAGCATGAGCAGCTTAATGCACGATTTGGAGTTATAGATATGCAGTCTGAAGGTAGCTAGCTAGCTTATTTACAGACTCAGATAAGAGCGGCTCTGTGTCATGAACTCACTCCACAGATGATCGCTGCTGAGAGGGCTGAATATGTGGCACCTGTGGTCCTAAGTTGACAGCAGGCTATGTATCAACTATGTGGATATTCTTCACACATCCCTGTGCGCCTACCTTCATTGTAGAGCGCACCGACTCATCTCCAGACTCGAGTCCAAGCTCCGGACATTTCCAATCACCGCCCAACACGGTGAGATTCCTTACTTAAAATGCCCAATATATGAATGAATACGTAGGTGCTCCTCCCTACCTAATCTTTCCGAGCATCATCACTGGCGGGATTGGCCTCTTCGGGAACCGCGGGGTCCTGACTTTGCGCCCATCGGCTGTTGTATCACTCCGAATTCAATATAAAGTTATAAGTGCCAGCGGTAAGTTAAACCACGGCAGGATCAGCATGCAGTCCCGACAATGATAACAATGTGACTCATACGAGCTCATCATGTCTCATACACGCAGCTAGCAGGTCTAATTGGCAGACAAAAAATTGAGGCTAGTAACGCATCAGCATCGGTCTGCCTTCGGATGGTCAAGATCCCGTGCTGTCGGGCCTCCCCGGCGAGAACCAACCGCACATGACCACACTCACTATGTACTCTTAATTAGACTTCTCCAAGAAATTGAGTTTGGGGACCACTTCCGCGCACAGAGGCTCTTTCTGCAGGGTGGCATAGCGTCACTGGGCCCGTTGGCACCTTGTTGTTCCGTGTCATTATCGTGATCTTTGTTATTACATACTAAGATAGTCAAAGTGCTGAAAAGTATCTGCAAATCACCCGGACAGCTCCATTATTGCGCCATGCAGTCAGGATTCGGAAACAATACAGTTACAACCGTGAGTCCAAGAGCTTATGCCTCTTCTTCTGACTCCTCGTCGCTGCCGTCATCGATCGGTTCGACTAGAAGGTTCCCTCCTCGGCCGATCTTGTCCCGCACTGATCCCCCAGCTTCCACTTCGTAGACCACCCGCGGCATGGGTGAAACCAGCCGGAACCCATACTGGTGTTCGAAGCCCTCCGGCTTCACTGCTTCTGCAGCCTTTTCTGTTGGCTCCTTCAGGATATCGTAACATTCAACAAACGCGTAGAGCTCGTCAAGCGACGCGTCGGGCGCAAACTTGCGGATGACACGCTCGCCAGAAGGCAGCCGAATACTGATGCGAACAGCGTCCTTGACGTCCGGTCCAGGCTCCTCTGGAATGGTTTGAGCCCGCCATTGCTTCCATTGCTGAAGATCCTGTATGCGCTTCTCCTCGGCCGCTTGACGTTCAGCCGCCTCTTGTTCTTCCCTCTGTCGGGCCGCCTCGGCTTCCCGCCTCTGTCTCGCCCGCTCGCGGTCGATGGCCAGGGAACGCTCGTAGGCGGAGTCCTGCTGTTCACGGAGGCTGCGTGAAGCTTGCTGTTCTGCCCGGGTTGACCGGATGCGCTCGAGAGGCTCCTTGTGCTGCGAGATGGCCGATCGAAGTTTCTCCACAAATTCCGCAGGGGACGTTGTTCCCGATATCCTCGACACAACCGACATCGCATTCGAGGAAACGTTGGGAGTATGGACTAAAGCGGCTGCGAAGGGGAACTTGGTGCAGCGGAGGGAGTTGGCAACCTGATAAGCCTCAGAGTCTTGAACATTCCCTCCCCAGACAAGTAGGTTGTTTTGTGGGTCATTCACAAAGTCGGTCACTTCGCGAGACAGGAGTGTGTCTCGGACCCAGCCATTCGTATCATCATGCTCAGGGGCAAGAAGTACAACTAGGAGGAACTTGAGGTCCCGGTGGGCTTTCTCCAATGCCATGTTATATCCGTTCTCGAGGAAACTGATCGAGTTGGTGCCATATTCCTCCTCGAATTCCCGGATGAACCGGGCGGCCGTGTCTTTGGGACCCAAGGGCCGGCGACCGTTAGTATTTCTCCGGGAGCCTTGAAGAGCGGGATTCGCTGTCGTGTTAAAGAAGCGCGGAAGGAAGGGAAACAAGGCACCGAATAGGCGGAAGGAGCTGTAGAGTAGTCGATAGAGGAGGTTGAGCGGAGTAAACAGCAGAGCTAGTATGAAGGGCGGGCGATAGACCGACTGGTCTTCAGGCTGTGTATTTATCCGGGGTGCTGGCTCAGCAGCACGGGGAATCGGGGTAAATTGCGCAGCAATGTCATTATTCATGAGGTTTTGGGTCTGTCGGGCGGGTCGCGGAGGAGGAGAGTTGAGAGCAGCACGGGCTTCTTCGACGGGATCCGGCCCTTCGCCGTCAAAGAACTTGGAGATGGCAATCTGGAGGCAGTAAATGCTTAGTTCCCAAGGCATCTAGAGGCAGTATGTCGTCATCCAGGCTTACCTGCACGTTCCATTGTGAGCGGCGCAACAAAGGAATGGCTTCCGAATGTTCCTGACCGGTGACCGCAGTATACGTCTCGAGAGCGGACCTCTCGCTGTCGGAGAGTTGGGATATATCAAGCCCGGAGGTGGACATGGTCAATTGATAATCTCATCCATGAACAGAATGGCTGGGAGAGGAGCAGCGAGGCCAGGGAAACTGGCGTGAATGATGAGGTATAGATGAGCCGCGGGGAGTCGTGTGCGTCAGAATAGCTTAGTTATTAAGAATATAGAGGGGAAGCTCAGAAAAGAAAAAGTAGCCAGCTCCTAAAGAATGCTCAGGGCATGCAGAATACCGCCACAGATGCAAATCGGGCTGTACTTAAGGAAGATGGTAGGGAGGGGAAGTCGTGGGGAATGAACGATAGTACTAGCTGGCCTCAGAAGGACAGCTCCGTCATGGCCGGTGGGAGCCACGCTAGACGCGCGCTTGACGCACGAGTGGTCCGTGCACGGGACGGAGTTCGACGCACTCCCGTCCAGTTCCCCCCTCCCACTCCTCCCCCCCGCGCCGCCCTTGGTTCGGATGCTGCCTTGCGGTCTTACTGCCTTGTCACCATCCATGGCATGAGATCTTCGTCCGTTCCTGTCTCCGGACGTTTATTCTCAATTGTTTTGGCTGTCTCCACTGTCTGACGCTCGAAAGGGCGCCCAATCTCGCCATCCCAGCCGTCCTTGGCTGTTGCGGAACATCTACCCTGCCATCAGTGAAACATCGCCTCGACAACGTCTCCGAGGGCATCTCGGATTGTCGAGCTAGTCTACGGGTTGTCTCCATAGAGGAATGTGGTTTCCTCTCGATATCTTAGGTCGCCCGATATTTCTTGACTCAATGGACATACCTGTCCGTTGATCCGCGCCCAACTGTGGATAACGAACTTATCATGGCTACCACGGGAAAGTCTGCAACGCTGGAAGACGCCCGTCGTGGTACGGGGTCTCCGAAGATGAAGGGACGAGGTTAGTTGGACTATAATTCAAATGTCGGCTTCGGGCAACGGACTATGATTCAATGCTCCCGTCGGCCTTTGCTTCTTTCGGCGGTATCAGCTAACATAGTCGTCATCCTGACCTTACAGAGAACGCCAAAGATACGCTGTGTCGCAACGTGACCATATATGGCCGATGTCGCTACGAAGATAAAGGTGCTTAGCCATTCCTTGCCTATTGTTCCTCTTCATGCTCGCTAGGATCCGTCTAACCGTCCGATTGCTTGTGAAGGGTGCGCCTTCAATCACGACCCGCATAAAGTGAATTCAGGATATCAATCAGACAGGTTGGCATTTCCGGGAGAGGCGCGCAATGTTGGAGTCAGAGAGGAGGATGACTTACTCATTTCGCAGTAACAAGAAACGTCTGAACGTCGACTCCCCTAGTTTTACCCCATCCATATTGTCGTCGAATGGATCTTCGCCCACTTCCCAATCAGCAACCATGAAGAAAATGGCTACGATCTCGCCCAAGGCTGCGAGCGCAGCTCCCTTCCAACCTAGAAGTATATCATCACGTATGCCCTAACGGTTTCCGGGATGCGAAGCGGAATCTGACTACAATCAGGATCCAACTCCAGCACCCCTACTACTCGCCCGGGTACAATGACCCCCGATTGGTCTGTGGCAGAGGTACAAGAATTTGTACCTCAGGGATTTGATACTGCACATATAGTAAGGCTGCCAGATCGAGGTGTCACACGCAGGTTGACTGCTTCGCATGTCATTTGCTGTGGTGATCCTGCTCGAAGTTTACGTGCTTGCAATGCTGATTGGTTAGGGCTCCCTGCAAGGTAATGGGACTGCCGGTGTTCCCAGCACGAGCGCTTTCGACCCTTTTGTGACCGCCCCGAATCCCCTCTCCGCAGCAAACGCCGTCGGCCCGGTGCAGGCCAATCCTTTCTCGCATGACACTGCTGCAGCGTTGAACGGAGCAGCGTTCTTCGCCAACCAGTCTGGATTCCAGCAGCCAGTAAGCCACTTCTTATCTGTGTTACGGAAATTTTCCTAATCAAGCGTTAGGTCCAATATCACATGTATGCCCCGATTGGGCCTCACAGTCAGAATACGTTAGGCTATCAGCGAAACGTACACGACCTTTTCCTCCCTAATGACCTCCGGGAGGAAATGCAGAAGAAGGCAGCAGCCACGCTCCAGACACTGCCAAGTACGTTGCTGACATATGAGTGCGTTTTGTTGACGATGCTGACTTGATGTTAGATACTCAGCTCCCAGCTCAGGTCGATTACTTCCACTCTCTTGTCCCGCTCGATCTCAACCATCAGAAGAACGCTACCATTTTTGGCTTTCCCAGCTGGGTGTACAAAGCCCAGTCCAGTAAGGACGGAAACTTTTACGCTCTCCGGAGACTCGAGGGTACTTTAGTCCTTTCCATGCCATTATCAGGATACTAACTCGTACTCAGGTTTCCGGTTGACGAACGAAAAGGCCATCCGCTCCGTGCAAGCTTGGAAGCGTGTCTGCAACGGTAGTGTCGTGACAGTCCACGATGCTTTTACTAGCCGAAGCTTTCAGGACAGCTCCTTGATCTTTGTCACCGACTATCACCCATTGTCGAAGACGCTTGCTGAGCAACACCTTGGCGCCGGAAACCGATTCCAAGGTCGCCATAACACGCACATCCCGGAACAGGTTCTCTGGGGTTACATGACTCAGATTGCCAATGCTCTGAAAGCGATCCATGCCAGTCAACTGGCTGCCAGGATCATTGACCCAAGCAAGATCCTTTTGACTGGGCGAAACCGCATTCGTCTCAACGCCTGCGCCATAATGGATGTGGTTCAATTCGACACCCAGCGATCTCTGGCCGAACTGCAGCGGCAGGATTTGGTCAACTTTGGACAGCTCATCGTCACCCTGGGCGCCAACCAGCCCAATGTTATGCACAACCCTACCAAGGCCATGGAGCACTTCACACGCGCATACACTGCGCAGCTGAAGAACTCGGTCTTCTGGCTGCTGAACGGGCTCCAAAAGGACCAGGAAAGGAATATTGACATTTTTATCACCGGCATCTCATCGACACTAATGTCGACGTTCGACTCCGCCCTTCACCTCGACGACCAATTGACCTCCGACCTGAGTCGCGAACTCGAGAACGGCCGCCTCGTCCGGCTCATGACGAAGCTGAACTTCATCAACGAGCGACCCGAGTATGAGCACGACCGTCAATGGTCCGAAAACGGCGAGCGGTACTTCTTGAAGATCTTCCGCGATTATGTCTTCCACCAGGTTGACGCGCAGGGCGATCCAGTCGTCGACCTGGGCCATGTGATCATGTGCCTGAATAAATTGGACGCAGGCACCGACGAAAAAATCACCTTGATCAGCCGCGACGAGCAGAGTTGCTTCGTGGTCAGCTATAAGGAGCTGAAGAAAGCTCTGGAATCGTCATTCCAGGCGCTGCTGAAGCCTTCGGCCAGTAGGAGGCTGCATTGAGTAGTCTGGCAGGACTTGACACTATGCATCTGCTACCTACATATCTCCAATATGGTATGTTATGAGTGTCATCAACTCGCGCTGGCCTATTCTTAAATGGCAGATGGATGGATGGGAGGGTGGATATTTTGGATTGAAATCATGGTGGAGGGAATAAGTCTCCTATGTTCCAGCGAGGATCTGATATGTCTACATTGACCATTCTTACTGCCGATGATACTTATCCTTAACGCCTACTTCAGTATTGATGTGATGGCTGGACGATGGATCAAGGCAGGTTTATACAGCAGTGACGAAGAAGAATATTAAGACAGATACGCCATAGTTAGAAATGTATGAGATTGAAGTTCACTTGCAGCTTAGTTAAATATAGTATCATGGGTGTAGTGTAACAAGCACATTAACACCAAACACCAAAAGGAAAGAAAAAAAACACCCCGACCACCGTCCCTATCTACATACAACCAATAGATACAATGATATCAAACCTCATAATACTCCCCCTTCCCTCCTTCAAAACGTAACAAATCAATCATCCACCATGACCCAACCAACCCCCCACTCTCTCCCTCACCTCCTCCACCCCCATCAAATACCCACCCCCATCCCCCTCCTCCCTCGCATCACCCACATACTCCCCCACATTCAATCTCCTCGGCGGCACCAACACCCTTCCCCCACCTAAAACAAACATATTCCCCTCCGCAGTCAACAACTCCCCGGCCTTCAAAACACCCTGATACCCATTTACTCGGAGATATCGATACACGCCGTGACATTTCGCATCGATGAAGAGCCTCTCCGCTTTCCCTTCATCATCATCATCATCATCATCATCATCATCATCATCATCATCATCATCAATATGTGAATGTAAATGGTATCTGTGTAATAAACTCTCCATCTCTATATAAAACATGGATTTATCCCTCGATGAAAGGGGGGATATATCACCGTGTTTGGTATACAGCTGATCCGAGTAAAGCGTCTCGCCAACCACAATGTGGTATTTCATGATGGCGGAGAGGTATTTACTCCCCTCGGGGGAGAAGAGGAAGGTGAGGGCTTCGGGGGTGAATGTTGCCACGAAGGAGGGGTTGGGGGGGAGGAGGAGGGTTAATCCTCTTCTTTCTCCTTTTTCTTCTTGGTTGTCATTCGGTTTTGTTTGAGGGGATGAGGTGGATGGTTGTGGTTGTGTTTCGTCGTTAGATTGAAGGTGTAGGGCTTTGTTGGGGTTCTTGCTTCTGCTTCTGCTGGTGATGGTATTGGTATTTGTATCGGAGCTGGTGGTAAGTACCCTATCCAGACCAGTTTTGTACAGTGCTAGCGTAAAGGTGCTGAACTCGGAAGGAAGGGAGTTAAGTACGGTGAGGATAGAAGGCGGAGGCATGAGAACCGCGTCGATGTGGTATAGGATGCCATTGGAGGCGTGTTTATCCAGGGAGATGATGCGGCTGTGGAAGTTGAGCATCAGTTCGCGTGTTGTGATTGGACGGACGGTGATGCGTTGGGGGAGGGTACTATGTTCAGTACGGATATAGGTTGGAACGGTGGGTGATTGGAAGAGTTTGTCGATGGGATAGGAGCCCTTTACGGTGTGGTAGGTGAGGATGTGGTGGATGTGGTTGTGGGTTTCTTTATTATTGTTGGTATTATGTTCATGGTGGTATTGGTGGTGGAGTTTGCGGATGGCTTCGTCGGTGGGAGCGAAGAAGGTGAGGTTGGTCGAGGTAGTACTGTTGAGAAGGTTTGTAAGGTGATAATCGTTGCGGATGAAGTGGGCGAGGATGGAAGTATCCGGGTTGGAGAGGATGAGGCCGTAGAGGGTCTTATTGGATGCGGGGTGGCGGAGATATGGGGGTGGAGTGGGATGGCGGAAGGGCGGAGCGAGTTCGGAGACGTGCTGGGCGTAGAGATGGGGTGAATCACTGGGGTTGTAGTTGAGGTAGTTGTTCACGATGGTGGGCCAGATGTCGGTTGTGAGGTGGTCGAGGACTGTTGCGAGGGTGGTGGTTATGCCATTGATTAGGGCGGAATCTATGTTCTCGTCGGCGATGGTGATACTATCATCATCATCATCCTCGGGTAGGGGATTCTGGTAATAAGGGGAGACGAGGGCGGTGGAGAAGGGCAAGGCCACGAGGGCCCAAAGGGGGATTTTCATTTTAGATGGCCAGTTTATGGTGATGGAAAAGATATGAATGGGATCTGTTGCAGACAATGCTGCTCGTTGTGTTGCGTTGCAGGGATCAAGTTAATTTCTATCTAGACGAGGGCAGGCCAGCTGGGCCTAGACCCCTCTGCCGGGCTGAGCCTAATGCTCAGTAACATCATGAAGGAGATACAAATATTATTATGGTGAAACGCACTAACTTTAAAATTGCGGGTTACAGCATCATACATGGCAGCATATTGGAGGAATCGACAGGTTGTTCATGACGACAGAGGATGATGTCATGACCACACACAGAGCGGAAAGTAAGCTGATTGTAGGCAGTCAAGTGCCCGCCATTACTATGTAGTATATTCTGGTATTGTGCTATGCATGGCTTCATGCAGGTACAAGTCAACGCTCAGGGCGCACATAATACATTTCATCATCTGCCTTCGTAGGGTGTGTATAGTAAGATTCCGTCCACCGTCCGTGGTGGACGGCAACATCGAGATAGACGCAGACTCATCGACCACATCCATCGGGACGTGAGGCGGACGACTGCGGCAACCATTGTCGTCAATTGTGCGGGGCATGCACATGGCTGGTCACTTCAAGGGAACTCCGCATCAGGCACCAACAAACCGCCAAGTTGCTCTGATATCGGCCTCCAGAGCACGTGATTACTCTTCGGGTTGCACGAAGGGGTTGGCAATCTCCTCGCTGCCGTCGGCGGGCGAGATCAGGACGATGATGGTGCCACGGGCCACGACGAGACCCAGCGAGCGAGTGTTCTCATTGCCCTCGTCATCTGTGATGGTCAGTAGGGAGTAGTAGTGGGAAGATTGCAGGGAGCTTACCGCGCATGGATTCCTTGACATCGTCCAGGACCAGGTTCATGAGCTGGTCGTATCCCTTGAGTAGACCAACAACTGGACATGACTATTAGCAAAAGCATTGTAAAGTAACAGTAGGGTGGGTCTTACCCTCACGACCGCCATTGAACTTGACGCGCACCTCCTTGTCCATGTACTTGTTCAGGTCGAGGATGTTCTCCTTCTTGGGCTTCTCCTGCTGCTGCTGCTGAGCACCGCCACCAGCACCGCCACCTCTGTGGGCGCCACGACCGCCAGACCGGTCATAGCCTCCGCCGCGGCCGCGACCACCTCCACGGAACGAGCCTCTTTCGGACATGGCTTGGCTGGGATGGAGTGTTTAGGTTGGGAGGGGGGAAGCACTTAGTAGTAGATTATGTGTGAAAGGGTGGGTTTGGTCCAATTAGGAAGGGGAGTGGATTAGATAATGCGGTGTCGGGTAAAGAAAATGAGGGGAAGGAGGGGAAATGCAGAGAGATGAACCAGCTAGACTAGTGAATAGATGGGAACAACAAGGGAAATCGGAATGGACTGGCCGGCAGCTCCCTGGTTTGGCACACCGGTGTGGACGAAAATGCCAAATTGGGCCGGACGGGAATTTCACGGGGGGCGGAGGAAGTCAGTCAGTCAGTCAGTCAAAGCTGTTGGAAGGAAACTCTGACTATGAGGGATTTTCAGCCGTCGCAGCAATAGCAAAAAGCAGCAGTAGCAGCAGCAGCGCAGCAACAAGCAAAACAAGCGTGAATCACGAGGTTGAGCCAGTCACGGGATTTGTGGACGCTGGGAGGAGATCAGAACTCTCTTTTGAACTTCCTGGCAATTAATGACGGTAAGAATACACAGCATCTGTCATATTTCTCATTCTGACAGTACTTGACCACCGGCCCGGGTTAGCGCGTATCGTGGGGGGGGCTGGAACCCGGCCAGTGTCGGACACACGCGCCCATCACAGCCCGGCCTTTGCTGGTCCAGTTTGATGAAAGGCTTTTTAGGCAACCATCTTCATCCGATTGATCCTATGAAATGTCTCACACTGAGAAGAAGGGGAAGCTTCTCCATCAGCTATTATGCACATCCAAAAAATGAGTCGAGTATAAGAACTAATGGGAGGGTATGAAACCCGAAGCTCCCTAATCGACTGGCACCGGCTCAGCACGGGCGGAGCGCGACCCCCGTCCGAAAGGATGAGGTGGTCCAGGCCGGATTCCGAGCGGCCTCCAACTGGTGCACAATCACGAAACCCATGACGCCAGCCAAACCAATACCCATTGGATAAGTTCCGGAAGGAAACGGAGCACCAACATCAAAGCAACTTCCACCTGGCCGCCAAAAGACAACGTGTCAGATAGTCGTCCTCCTACTGCTCTACTTGTCTGTCCCTGGAGTCCGCCGCAAGGGGGATTGCAACCCCAGACACATACATACATACGCTTGGAATCGGAACCATGTCAAAGCTGATGATAAGGGGAGTAGGGGAGAGGGGAGAGGGGAGAGGGGAATTGTCGGAGATGTAACATCGGGGTCAGTTAGTTTCTTCGTATACTCGCTAGTTTCTGCCAGACATACATTCATTGTTGGTGTCTATTTACTCCAAACAAGGGCCCCAATAACCGGCCCTACTGTAAAGTTGTCGGTTCGATGCCCCGGCCTGGACTGCCTTGATAACGGGCGCATGGGCGGCGTATTGACGTATGGTTATGACCTGTTATGTATGTTAAATGACCAGCGGAAGAGCCCGGCGGGACTCCGCCCTACCTTAGGTAAGCGATAACCGGTCACTCGTCAATTCCTCTCGCTAGTTTGGCAGGAGAGGAGTGGAAGTTGGTTGTTGTATTATTAGCCATCATAAGTCAATCAAGAAACTACTCCAGTCTAGAGTCCATGGAAGGGGGGAGGGAATCCAATCTAGATAAACACTCGGATCACGCAGGAACTCAGCGGGGATACAAGACGGACAGACAGACAGACAGAAGAAAGACATCCCTATCGGCCAGGCGCGATCAGGCTACCAATTTGTTTTGCGGAAGATCGCCATCACCCACTTGCAGGCCTTTTAGCTCGGTCCACTCGGCATCTCCAGAAGGTAACTTACTTACTATCTTGTCCGTCAGTCACTCCCTCTCCCAGTCCTTTCATTAGTTCCCTATCAATCCCATCCCATCCTCTCGCCCGTTCCGCCATCCGCAGCGTCACCAGCATCCATTCGGCGGTATCATTGGCCATCACCTCCACCATATCGTCCCTGCAATCGATTAGTGTTGTTGTTGCTGCTGCTGCTGGTTGGGACATTCTTTTTTGTTGGTGTTGCTACAGCTAGTAGTACTTAGTTGTTAGTTGTTAGTAAATAGAAATAGATATCGTCCCATCCAGTCCTTATCCTGCGCCTTTTTTTAATCATTCATTACTTACTAGTTAAAGACTAACCTGGTCAACGGCTTCCCCCAACCCTCTTCCTCCCGGCCGTAACTCCGTCCGCCTTTGCCTGTCGGTTCGTCTTCCTCCTAACTTTCCTTCTCTTGCCTCTCTCTCCCCTCTCCCCCCCCAATCTTTTCCTCTTCCTCCCTCCCTCCTCCTTCTCCTCTCCTCCTCTCCGGTTCCTATCTTCTCTCCTCTCCATCCTTCTCTCTCTCTTTCTTCCTCTTCTCCTCTTCCTCCTCCCCTTCCCCTCCACTTCCCTTTCTTTCTCCCACTTCTTCCCTTCTCGACTCTTTCTTCTCTGGGTACTCTTCCTCCCCCACATTTTCTTCCCTTCCGACACTGGATCCTCCCCCCTCCCCCAATTTTCCCAATTTTCCCAATTTTTTTTTTTTTTTTTTTTTTTTTCCGTTGGGGTCGCCGATTACCTAACTCGAACGCAGCACGCGCTGCCCAGTGGCTGAACCTGAACCCGCACTCTGGAGCCTGATGCTCCGCCATCGGCAGCCCGTCTTTCGCCAGTATTCTCATTACTCATTTCCTCTATAAACCCTTTTTTCCTCTCTGGGTTCCTCCCCATTTATCCCTCCCCCCCCTCCCTGCCCCGTATTTTCCGCGGCTCTTCGCTTTGTCGCAATCCACCCGGATTTCCCCTACCTCACTTCCTCCTTGGAGTCGCCTACTACCTCCGGCATCACCATGGAGTCCAGAACCGCGACGGCTGAGCCGTCCAGTAAACGACCGCGCTCACCTTCCGGCGATTTCCCTCCTATCGCGTCCAAGGTTCCCAAAACCCATTCGAATCACCTGCAGATCAACTACCTCGCCCGCCAATACCCGGATAACCTTCCTCTCGTCTCCGTCGATGATACCATGCCCGCCATTGTGCATCTCATTGGCGAGTACGACGGCGTCTTACATCGTCACGAAAGCATCGCCGGGAACTTGGGCGCTTGTCCGCTGGGGCCCATCCTGATCAAGCGCTTCGAGCGCTTGTTCGATGGACCGCCTCGCGTGCTCAAGTCGCATGGCAAGGACTCCCCCAACGTGACCTGGCTGGATGTGGTCGAGTTTGCCAAGAACAAGCCCGAGCAGTTCAACCTGGAAAAATCGCGCAACGGGGTGCGAGTGTGTCAATTCTACACCAAGCAGTGTCGGGTGGAGATCAGCGAGGAGGATTTTGTGTTGATCGCCTCGGGGATGCCCCAGAAGATGATCCCCCCGCAGCCGATCATTGAGGATGAGGAGAAGGAATTGGGCGCATTGGAGATTCTGGAGAAGAACCTCCAGCAGATCATCCAGATGGCCGACCAGGGTATGTCTGACATGGATATCTTCTACAAGCTAAACTAACCATTGTTGCTAGTGTCTGCCCGCGCCCGACAACTGAATCACCGTCTGAAGAACCGCCGGACGGCAATCGTCACCCGTCGGGAGAACGACATGTCGCTCCACTCGCAGCGACAGCAGCGACAGCAGCAACAACAACGATCCATCAGCCCTGCGTGGCGCGATGCCAATGGCCATGCCCAGAATCCGAATGGTAGCACCCCTGCCAGCGCCCAGTCTCCCTCCACTGGTTTTGTTGCCGTGAATGCCGGCCGGCCCGGCGGCGGAGAAGCCACTGTGGAGGAGAATGCGCTGTCGTCGCAGTTTATGTTCTCGCATTCCAATACGGACAATGTTACTATCATTAACGGCACCTCTATCAAAGGCGCCTCGCCGACGACCCGCGCCGAGCTCATGAAGAAGTTCTTTACTACCCAGGATCGCCAGGCGCGCAGCTATGAAGAGGGCCCCGGCTCCAGTAGTCGGCAGTCGTCCCGGCCGCGGCCGCGAGCGTCGGATGCGGCGGACTACAACCTGTACACTCCGGCACCCGCTACGGTTGCCATTCCCAATACACCCTCCTCGCTTCTGCCACCGCCCAAGTCCCACCACCACGAAAAGGATGACGGCGGCCCGCACAAGATGGAGATGGTGGCGCGCATGGAAGAACTCTCACGGGGCGAGCGCATCCTGCCGCCCTGCGATCGGTGTCGCCGGCTACACATGGATTGTTTGAAGAACCTGACTGCCTGCATGGGGTGCACCAAGAAGCATGCCAAGTGTTCCTGGAAGGACGTCAAGGAGGACGAGCTGCGCGAGACACGGGTCGACCGTACGTCCCGGGAACGAGCGGAGGAGCCGCCTTCGTCCAAGGAGGCCTCTTCGACCCATCCACTACCTACTCCCGTGGCAGCACCACCGTCGACGGCAGCCCCGACACCGGTGTCTGGACCGATGTTGCCCGAGACGGAGCAGCGACCTCGTGAGCGCGAGGTGCCGTCCGAGTACAGCGTGCGCCGCGAGTCCGCGCCGACAGGAGGACCGGTTGCGGGGATGGCGCTAGCCAAGGAGACGTCACCGCGGCGGGCCATGAGCGAGATGCACGGGAGCAGCGGGATGAGCCATGAGCGACGGGTCAGCCTGCATCGGCACGCGGAGGCAGACGATGACGACCCGGATGCCAACCAGCGGCTGATGCAGGCAATTCTGGATACGGTGGACCACCACACGCGGGTGGCGGCGGCGGTGAAGGAGGGACATGAAGTGAGCAACGAGCGGGAGCGGGAGCGCGAGCAGGAACGAGAACGAGAGCGGGAGCGGAAGTTGGTGCGGGCATAGCTTGACGACCCGACTTTGTTTGGAATTATGGATTGGACATGGGTACTTGGACAGGGAGTTGTAATTAGGTTTTTGATTGAGCGAGTTAGCGGATATCCCGGTTTAAATTCTGGATGAATGATGGATTGGATGGATTGGATATTGGATATTGGATATTGGATATTGGATATTGGATATTGGATAGCATGGATGGGCATAGCATAATGTGACTGCATGCATACAGTGTACAGAACCAGGGAATAATTGTGTCGGAGTTTGTCATTCCCGCCGCGGCACCAACTGCCGATGGGCGATCCGCACCCCGCATACAGGCTGAACAGTCAACAGGCACTACTACTGAATACAATGACTATGTGCAAAGAGAAGAACTCAATACATGCACCCCACAGATCGTCCGCCAATCCCTCGATCCAATACACGCATATATCCCTCATAAATCCGACCAGCCCTTAAAAATGAACTCGGGAATGGCCATAGCCGACCCTCCTCGCTGAGTGATGCTTACGTAGCAGCGTATCCGAACCCACCCAACCAATAACCATCGCTCAATTCACACCCACCACCCACCACCCACCATCGGAAATGTGGGGTGTCCCCGCAGTCAACATATAGAAGAGTAACACCCCCCCACCAACCCATCTCCATACCCATTGCAATTGTGCCTCTTCCTCTTCCCAATTGCAACCTCACCACTTCCCTAAACAAACACATCAACAGAAGAAGAAGAAAACAGGGAGTGAAAAGACAAAATGGACCCCAGCAAAGTGAAAATCCCCCCAATGAAAGACCTAACGGTCGACAACATCACCGAGAACGTGATCCGAATCAACTCCCTCTGCGAAGACGAACGACTAAAATACATTCTCGAGCGACTCGTCACACACCTTCACGACTTCGCAAGAGAAACCCGTCTTAGCACGGATGAGTGGATGACCGGGTTGAGATTCCTCACGGAAGTAGGAAAGATTTGCTCGGATGTTAGACAGGTAATAATACCAATACCCTATCACGATTTCCTAGCTAGCTAGACAGCTACTAACAACACCAGGAATATATCCTACTATCAGATATCCTCGGCCTCTCCATCCTCGTCGACTCCATCGACCACCCCAAACCCCCCAACAGCACCGAAGGCACCGTGCTGGGCCCATTCCACACGCACGACGCCGAGCCCCTCACCCCGGGGGCCAGCATCAGCCACGATCCCGCCGGCGAGCCCCTCCTCGTCGTCTGCACGGTGAAGGATACCCACGGGAAGCCCGTCAAGGACGTGAAGATCGATATTTGGGAGACGGATTCGACGGGCCATTATGATGTGCAGTATCCTGGGAGAGATGGACCTGACGGTCGATGCATCATGACTTCTGATCAGGAAGGAGTGTTCTGGTTCAAGGCTATTACGCCCGTTCCGTACCCGATTCCGCATGATGGGCCGGTTGGGAAGTTGTTGAAGTTGTTGGGGAGACATCCGTATCGCCCGAGTCATATGCATTTTATGTTTGAGAAGGGGGGGTTTGATCATTTGATTACGTGAGTAGATGAATTTCCCCGGAGGGGAGGGGGGTATGGGTATGGGATTGGGACTGGGCTAACAATGTGTGGTGTAGGGCGCTGTATCTCCGTAATGACCCCTATGAGACTTCTGATGCCGTCTTCGGGGTCAAGGATTCGCTGGTCGTGGATATTGGTAAGGCTGGGCCGGAGTATGCGGCCAAGTATGGGGTTTCGGAGGATCATGCCCTGCTTACGTATGACTTTGTGTTGGTGAGTGATGAGGAGACGAGTGAGTTGAGGGCGAGGAATTCCAAGGAGGCGTTGGATAAGTTGGGGAGGAAGGTCAAGATTGTTAACGGGTTGCCGGTGCCGGAGTTGGATTGATTTTCTTTTTCCTTTCTTTGGTATGGTCTGGGTCATGTAATTGATAAGTGTCATGTGAATGTATTCTTTATTAGGTATATACATCATTCGTTAATGTGGGCATTGGTGTTGGCTTCGGCTTCGGCATTCACCATCTCTCCAAAATCACTTCCCTCCGCTGCTGCTCCGCCATCCTTCAGTCGGCGCAGTCCACTCTCATCTTCCACCCAGCCACCTAGCTTCTCCACTCCTGCGATATACTCCGTTCCAATCCGCAGGTTCAGCCCCGCGCTCAATGCCCGCTCGATCCGCACTTCGCGTCCCTCGGCAATCAGTACCCGGAACACATGTCCCAGGAACCCGCTCAGGAGGTCCACGCTCCACTCGTCTGGCACGACGCGCAGCACCTCGCCCACGTCGAACCACGCTGCAAATCGTCCCAGCAGGTCACTTGTCCGCTCGAGCCGCTCCGATGGATCCTGGATCTGCAGGAACTCGTCCAGCAGGTACCGGAAGAGCTCGGATTGCAGGGAGCGCTCGGCGAATTCAACTAAGGCTCCTGTCGTGCTGGTGCTGCGCGGGCCGCCGAAGAGGCAGTATCGCACCGCGGAGTCGTAGTCGCCCAAGCCGTGGGTGAGTAGGTGGAGTGCCTCGCGGTGTCGGCCTTGTAGGCCGTCGAGGATCACTGATTCTGATACCAGTTCGTTTTGGAAAGGCTCGATCCGCGCGAGCACCGCTGGGATGGAGTATGTTAGGTTGCGCGCGGGCAGGGAGGTAAAGTGCCCGCCGCTGCCCCCTCCGAGGAGTTGGAGCAGGCGGAGCCGGGATTGCCACCATGGCTCGGCGGGTGTATTTTCGGTGATGAAATTCATGTAAGTAGGTTTGGGCGGCTGCAGGGCGCGGTACGTAGAGTAGGACTCCGCGAGCGATGCACGCGCTTCTGGGGAGGACTCGAGCACGGAGAGCACGGTGTCCAGGTAGTAGGAGAGTAGGTCGTCCGCGTATTGGGTGTGCTGGACGTGTTAGCATGATTCAAATAAATGAGGATGGCGCTTACATTTCGAACGAAGACGAGATGCTCCAAATACACCTGCACCGCGTTTGGCGCGCGCTCTTTGAGCAAGCTGACCACATCCGTAGTCTCCAGCTTGACCCGGCTCGTGCCGTCTGAGAACACTTGAATACCCAGGTTGGGATTGCGCTGGGCCAGCCATGCTCCGTACTCCTCCACCAACTGTGCGTCCTTGATCTTGACCAAGTACCGTCGCATCTGCGCTTCGGTTCCACCCACAGTGACCTCACCACCGCGATCCTCCTCGCCATCGATAATCCGTCGCCAGGTTTTGAGGACATTCCCCGACATTCTATGGCTCTGATACAAGCGGCTGAGCACGAACAAGCGCCGGTAGCTTTCCAGCAGCGCCACTGCCCGGTCAAAGCTACCCTTCCAATTATCCACTAGACGGTTCAATTCCGCGCGAATAGAAGACTTTACGCGTTGTTCTGCTGACAACTGTGCATCTTGCTCCAGAAGCAGGTGCAGAAGAGCTGCATCGACACTGTCGAATACATAGTTTTCATCCGTGATACTGCCGTAACCCCTCTTCTGCTGCCAGGAGAATAGGAACCGCTTGATCATATCCAGAACTGCTGCGTCGGAAGCTCCGCTATTCTCTGTCTTGTCGAGCCGCTGCACGTAGGCTTCCGTGACCTCAGCAAGACCAGCATGAACCCAGATTCCCTGCGGGCCCTGGAGGACCTCGCGTCGCAAGAGGGGAACTAGCAGCAACACAATACGTGGATCTAGTTCTCCAACTATGAGGGCTCGCTCCGTGTCATCAATGATCGCATCGCTTCGGACATCCGGGTCCATGAAAATAAGGTCTGCGAAAAGAAGCAGGCTGGCTTTCTGCTTCACATAATTCAAACCCAAGAATTCTGATTCGGACTTGGGCTCCGTTGTCTGGACATGATGGATGATATCGGCAACTGCTTTCCGGAAGGCTTTGGAGTCGCCAGCGCCTGTCTCCTGAGCCGCCTGTAGAGCATCATTGAGCTGTGTGGTCAATGGATTTCTCACCACCCGCCATATCTGGTTGCCGTTCCACAATACCATGCTGCTTTGCGTCTGGCCTAATTCACGCGCAAACCTGGCTTCTTCGGCGTTCCTTTCCGCTTCCCAGCCACGCTCCTTTGAGCCTTCTGAGTCCGTCAATTCTTGAGCCTCAAAGAGCTCCTTTTCTTTTTGCAGATGTTCGATCGATGATTGCGTTCGTGGGTCGGCTGCCGGTACACGGGGCGACAACGGAGTTTTTAGACGAACCATACGTAGCAGATTCCCCAATTCAGATACCTCGAGCTTGCTTGGGCTGATTGTATGGCATAGACCAGCATGGGTAGTCTGCATGTCGTTGGCCGACGGTATTTCTACCCAGGTTTTGTGGTCCTCCGCCTCCCCGGGATCGACATCCCAGAGCTGCACTTCCAGGAACTTCCGTTTCTGGCCATCCTGTTCTGATTCTATAACCGCCAGAAGAAGCTCATCCTGCGTGTTCTCCGGTGATGGTATCATATGAGTTTCGTCGCCCTTGTCGATCACGATTGACTCGGGGTATTTGTGAAATGTTATTGTACCACGGACCACATCGCCATCTACATTAACAAACATGCCAACTCCGGGCTCAGTTGTATCGGTTCCTCTAACGAGCAAGAACTCCGACGAGGTCGGTGACAGCACATGAGGCTTCAGCTGTGTGGGCGGCTTGGGTATGGGTGGAAGGGGTTTTCGGTCATCGGGACTTGACTGGGAGTCGCGGGTCGAGTGGGTTGGAGATATCCTCGGAGAAGCACTTTCGGCTCGGTCTTTCGAGATCGATTGTCGCGGGGTCCCAGCAGGAGACAGCTCTGGCGTAACAGAGCTAGACCTGTCATGTGGCGAGGTATGAGTCTTTGGCTGCAGCATCCCGGCGAACGGATTCGGACCGGATCCTCTGTCATGCTGGCTCTCCAGCGGCGAGGTTGCGAAGGGTGACGACGGAGATCTGTCTCCGGCAGGACCCGAGTCGAATGCCTCGCTGGAAAATGAGACAGGAAAGAGCTGGATCTTCTGTTGGTTTTCCACGTCCAATAAAGAGTACGCATGTGTATCAGCAGCGCAGGCGATTATGCCTCTCCGCGCCGCCACCAGGCAGCCAGGAAACTCGATGTTCCTTATCCGTCGAGCATCATCGCCAATTCTGACCAACATCATCCGATTCTGGGCGGCGATCATGATAACGGGGTTATCCGACTCATCCGTTGCATTCAAATCCAGCCCACCGATCCAGCGACAGTTGTTGACCTTGGTGTTCCCGAAGGCCGGACTGAGCTCCGGCAACATGTAGAATGTAGCCGTTCCATTGCATAGCACACACGCCTTGTTCACCGTTGGCAGTAACACAATTTGCTGTATTCCCGGAAGCTTTGCTGACGGAGGCTGGGAGAAAGGGATCGGTAGTCTTGAGGCGAGGATGAATGATGGCTCGTTCGACTTGTCCGAGGGGTCCGGTGGAAGGCAGACGAAATGCAGGATCTCGGCGGCAGAGGTACCAATGTATAGATTATCATCTAGAAATCATCCAATTAGCTTGGCTCTCTCATTAACAATGCTGGACGCACTCCAATACTCGACGCAGGTGATATGGACATCCTCGTCATCATTGTCCGCATTCAAGGGCACCTGGTCGAAGAGGGACCGGAACACATAAGGTGCAGCTTTTGGAGGGCCAATCTTCCGCCTTTTGCGCGGGCTGATGCCCTCCTCTTCCGACACCATGATGAGGCCAGCTCGGTGTCTTAAGAGATGGTTCCTGACAAGATGGAGACGTGAGGGGAAGGAAGATCAGGACAGGAACTGGGAGGAGCTTCAGTCGGGCGAGGCTGGGCGCGGGTGGACCCGCCCGGGGTTATCTGCTGACTCAGGTGGAGTCCATTCTATGATTGCAGTTAGTTATCAGTCTATCACTTTAACTATAGTTATCTCTTGTGAAGAACTGCAATTGATAGTCAGTAATCTTCTACTTCATAAATACTGTCTGCTTGAACCAATTCTGTGTTCAGGTGCAAGTATAAGTATCGATCTGCGTATTGATAGTTCAGCCGTTTTGACTGCAATTGTGACAGCTTCAGCTGCTTCATCACCACTGACGAGGCAGACTTTAAGGTTGCAGGCAGCACATATGATACATCTCAAGCCACTGCTTACTCGGGGTCTCTTCAGCATATCCTTACCTGAAAAAGGCCCTATCTGAGACGAACGTGGCCAAGTTGCTATAAATAACGGGGCTGAACCACGATCGGATAGGAACCTACCGGCATCGATCCAGGAGAATCTCGTCTTGAAGTGTCAACTCACTAGAATCCTGACTATCAGTATCTTGTCTTGTCATAAAGAGGACACCTCTTCCTTGCATATACACGCCATCTCATCACGCGATTGGGCATCTCTGCTCATTGTTGTCTTCGGAAGATCATCGGCCCGGTCGGCGTGTCACTCCGCATTGCTGTAGTTTCACATTAACTGGCTTCATTTACTTGTCCCTCTCTGGATAGTCGTGGTGTTGCCGGTCCGGTCTTGGATGGGGGTGTTGCGCTGATTCTTGCTCCATTGAAGCGGATTATTCCCAAATCTCAACCATGGACGCTTTCGCCCTTACCGAAGGCATTGTCCCTGACAATAGCCAGGATGGTCACAACTCCGAGCCCGCCGCCGGCAAGTTACCGGAAGGAGCCAACAAGTTCCAGCGTGCCATTGCGGCCTGGCGAGGTTTGTCGCCTCGATCTTAGAATTATGGGTCGAAAAGTAGCCGGCAGCTGACAAGTCCCTTGATATAGGTATCGATCTCGCCAGTACGGTCGCAAAGCTAGACAGTACCGCATCTGACATCGTCGCTCAGCAGCGCGATGCACTCGTCCAGCGCAAAGATCTCGCCCAGAAGACAAAGGACTTCAGGAAGCTAGATGACTCTTCTAAGCTTGCCGAGTACAAGGGTCTTCTGAAAGGTTCGTGGTGGGCCAACCGCATTCGTCCGGCCGTCGCTGACATTTCACAGCTTACCAGGGGTTCATTGATCTT